TGTAGATAGTTAGCTTTCTAGGCGATACCCTGAATTCGTACTTTTCCCTCTATGACCTACAAACACAGACAAGGAATGAATCTTGGGTAGCAGAGGAACTGAAAAAAAATTCTACTTCACTAGTATGAGGATATGTGTGACTACTATAATACGAGCGTGGGCAGTCAAACAGTCCAGAGTATTTAGTAAACATACATTTGAAGTAATACATAGCCCATTCTCATATCTCTGGCAGCTGTCAACTAACTTGACTGATCCACTCCCCCTCCTTCACCGGCTTCCGTTCAATGCGTCATTTTTCGCGCCATGAACTAACCCATCCCCCGCTATGGATCGTCAAGTTGATAGATACCGCCAGCTTGATTGGATTCCATGTTTCAGCCATCGTCGGTGGTGATTGCCTGATCCATAGGCATCTAGTTCAGAAGGAAACCCAGGGAAGAGGAAGCGGTCAGAATCATCAATGCACGCGAGACGGCGATAACCTAAAGCATGGGTCATCCTTCAGCTTCCCCTCTTTCTGATCAGCAGCATCGGCATCTGCAAACGGGAGGGTCTTGGATTTCAATACAGCCCACTAACTGCCTATTGTATGTGCATGCATACAGAATGCACCATGATGGTTTGAATATCTTCCAAGCACGCACTGCAGTTACTCAGCTACTACCTAATCAGACGCTATTTTGAGAAAGTTGCAATCTCCTCTTATCAAGAAAGTTCAGCGCTCTTTCGCGGCTATCTTTGCATGATTGGGGTAGCCTATGAACTTTGCTAATTATCAAGGGCGCATACCACCTTGCGTCGTCAGCTGGAAACAGTTCGTTTGAAACCGATTAGGTGTCCCGTGATCACAAAGGAATATTTCCGCCACAGCCGCGATACCAATCTAGGACGGATCGGTCGGAGCAAGATCGGGATTTGATATCGTGGCTCTCAAGATGATTACCTGCTCGAAACCTACACCCTCATCCGGTGGGATACAAGAGCGTTGACACCCTGCCAAAGCACATGATCATTTGCATCACCGGAGCCTCCATCATTGGAGGGTTAAATTTCCTAGTTCAGGAAAGGCTAGGTAATCCGCGGACGGCCCGGCCGATATACGCTTGTGGTTGCAAGGTAGCTCTTGATAGTCTATTTAATCGTGATATATGTGGATAGGCCCTCATCTGCTTCATTATCGGCAGTAAATGCCCAGGCCGAGAGACTGTATCTCCATGCTGGATATTATCCTGGCAGATGTGCATCCCTAGAATATATGACAATGCCACTTGCTTGCATCTAGTCGGCCGTATAACGGCTCTACTGATGACATGCAAATGATCCTTTGTGGCCAATCCGGAATGTTCTGAGACGAGCGGAGAAATGCTTTTTTAGATTCGAGACGCGGTGGTCAGAACGCGAGTCCACCATTCAGTGGCAGGGCCAGAGAAAGAAGGAGTGTAAGAAACCTGAATTGGCAGATGTTTAGTCGATAGGACGACGATAGCAGCATCGCCAACTCAGCAAAATGGCTCAGCTTTGTGCGGGGTTGGGAAAACGCCCCGCAGCTTTTTATTCACGGTTGCCTTCCATCAAGAATGAGCCAACGGGCTACTGCGTAATTGGCAGTTTCATCACCACCGATTATCCTGACCAAGAATAAGAAGCAGTCCATTAACATGTAGGGGTAGCCATGCAGCGTCCGGTCAATACCTTGGTAGGTAGGTGGTACATAGTCCCTGTAGTTTGATCTGCTAGTGTCTACTAAGAGTCTACTACTTCGCCTAAGTCATTGAAATTGGAGCGACCGGAGCTGGAGCCACGGAAAAACCAGATCTATGGTGTCATAGGGCAGATACTGAAGAGAGAAGGAATGGATTCGAAAGTAAGATCCACATTGGGTGAATTCTGTTTGGATGAACGCGTGATATTATTACCCCCTTTCACGGCCTTCACCATAAGCTGCCTATCGTCTTTGTTGCTTCTATCCGCGACGAGAGAATTAGAGACTCTTTGACCGCTTCTTCATCCTCCTCCTGCTGTTGCCGCCTTGGTACTACCTTGGGTATCAAGGTGTCGTAGTCCAAAAGCGTTTGCCATGAGGAACTCCAAGCATTGCTCTGGGTGGTGCATGGGCGCGCTACCAATGGCCAATGACTTTTAGATAGCTTGGGGCGAATGTGCTGAAGAGTTTTGCCCAAAAGACTACATGCACCACGGGCTCGCAAGCATTCATGAGTATGGGGCAGACCGTAAAAAATGAGAAATACGTGATTCATTTTGTGTCGATTCGTATCCCTGTCAGGTTACATGGAAGCATCATTGATACCTTCCAATCTCTTACCGTGGGATGGAGGACTGGCAGTTTCTGGGCAAGTTCATTCATCCCGTGCTGCGTTTCCACTTTCCGGCCCCTTCCCCCTTTCCGCACCGCCCCGACTGGTTTCACTGCCACTCTTTTCCTCAGCCTCAGCTTTGCAAACACGCGTGTAATATTACTACGACGGTACTAGCCGCGTTTCTCCCCCGCGTTGAGATGAAGACAGGGCTGGGATGACTCAAATCGAAAATCTCTTGCTGTTTGATTAATTTACCGACAGATTACCGCCCCTCACCCCTCTCACTTGTGCTCGCATTCTTGTACCAACTACGAACCTAGAAATGCGAGTGAACCACTCGCAAAGCTCCACAGTAATGTCGAGTAAGGATAAAGCGGCACCAGCAATTATTTTGCACAACTCCCTTATCTTCCTTTTCTCCGTAATTTTGTTTTTCTTTTCCTTTTCTCCCAATTTTACCCACCCTTCCCCTTCCCTGGCGACACTTGAGAGGGAAAGAAACATGATTGCATCTCAAGGGAAATTAAAGGGCACTATGACGAACGGGACAGGGACAACTATTGCCAGCAAAAAATAGTATTTAAGTTTTAGGCGGTCTGCACATCCCTAGTCGAAATGCATCAGGTGACAATCCCCCGATTGTCGGAAGAGCCCAATTCTTTTTCACGGTCGTACATGCAACTAGCGTCCTGGGGAAGGGGGCCTTGCTACTGCATGCAGTCTCTACAATAGTCCAGTCGTATTCTTTGGCTTTTTGGAGAAAAGTCGGGCGACAGGGATAAGGCAGGTTGGCATCAAAACCCAGAAACGGGAAACGAAGGGAGACCCCAGCGGGCGGGAATCCAAGATCCACATATCTCCCCATAGGGACCGCCGTGCCGGTGCCTCAAGAAGGATCTGTAACATCAATAATGGTGATAACACGGTAATAGTGTTTGCGGATCGACAGTCAGGCATGCTTCGGATTCTCCTGCTCCCGCGTAGTGATGGCAGATACGTGGATAACTCCGTACTCCGTACCGAGTATCCGTGTATGCAGGACGGATTATCCGTGGGGAAGCTAACCTTCTTGCCTTGAGAAAGAGCTCGTTACAACTACGTACTGTTAGCTATGGGGGTGAAATTGAGGAGGGGATTGATTGTATCCACCGACCTTCCATAGCAACTGATGTTCTCTGTTCGCCTTCCCCTTTTTCTTCCCTTTTCTGCCTTGTCTAACTAACCATTCCCCCCCTAATCCGCCCCCATCCCGAAAAAGGTGAAACAACATACCTATCAGCTTCTCTGCTCCCCCACGATTGACAGTGATACCATCATCGACAAGGAGATGATCATCCAATAGATCATGTCTGTTCACTGTGCCACTGCCTACTACAGATCTCCAGGAGTAGGATTTACTGTAGGAAGTGGAGCGAACAGCTTCTGGGCATCTTACCAATTGTGGATGAAGAGCAAAATCCTCGTGATCAAATACTATATGGAGTCCTCCGTAACAAATCTACCGAATTAGATGCTATGCTGCCCAGATAATAAAGGACGTGGATAGATAATGTAGGGAGGTCGAACGTTGGGACAACCGGAAAGAGAAAGGAAAGCAGAAAAGGGCACTATTGAAATAAGTTAGAAAAAAGAAAGGAAACGGAAAAAAAAATGGGAAAAGAAAGGTTAGCAGCTACTGTACATTTCCCAATGATTCCCTGACTGCCAATCAGCCTTCGTAGAAGGACGGAAGGAAGGACAGAGGGTAGATTGGAGGAGCCTCATAGGATCTCATGATCGCGGCTAGTCTCATAATCGCTTGGGCTGCCGTTGCTATGCTTCCTGGACAGCTCACCCGTTAACTGACTCTGATCTTGGAGCAGGTGCCCAGCAATGACGGCCCAGTTTGATTAGACTACCTTATTGGCATACCTGAACTAAAGGTTAATAATACTTTCTATCCCTTTCCTGGTCCTTAGCCAACAGTATATAGGACTTGGAATTTCTTCCTTTTGGCTACTTCATTGCTGTTATCACCAAGTAGTACTCCTGGGTCTGCTTGACAGAGAATTCTTTACTTTTCCCTGGAGAAGAAATTGCGCAGTTTTCACAGGGGCCTAGACGCATATCAAGAACGCAACAAAAAAAAAACGCCTCTGTTATCATCACTGCCGTCCACCACCATCATCATTATCCTAATCTTATATCATCATTACCTGAGCGTTTTCATTGGTACCAGAAAATTGGTGCCCGCGTTTTTTTCAGACTTCCTAAGACATTCAGGACTTGGCTTCCCAGATTACTTTTGCGGTGCGGGTCCCGCAGGTAGGCTAGAAAAGGAAGGAAAAAGAACAGTGTTCCCTACTACTCCGTATCCGAATACCGATTACCATCTTTGGGCTTGGTCTGACGTGGGGTGAGAAACGGTTCTAACCTGGTTACATGACGAGGGGCAGACGCGTGGGAGTTTCGTAACGAGAAATTTCCAGTTGACAATACGCAAATACATACCTTACCAAACCACAGGTACGGAGTACGTCAGTAAGTACCCACTCCAGCTTTCTTTCAATTGAAACATCCATCGGTTTCTTCGAAATCGACTTCCAAAATCCTTCCCTCCGAACTTCTCCCTTGTCTGTCTGTACGACACCGCATTCGCCTGGATGGGAGACTCTTAAGAGGTCGAACACCAAGACTTCCCCCCTCTCCCCAGCATTTTGTTGACACTCTTTACTCCAGACATCTTCGCTCCCTCGACTTCCGCAAGTGGAGATCCCAATTTCTCTCTCGGGCGAAGGATAACGCTGGCACTGTTTCCTCCGTCGCATGATCAACTCTCTTACTCACACATCCTGGCGCCTTTCGCTGCAGGTCCTCTACTACACTCCACGTAACCGTGCAGCAAACTGGAAAAGCTACATATCGGACCACACTAGACAATCGCGACCCTCACGATTACTCTTGTCGGTCCAATCTCCGATTGCTCAAATTATCACCCTTCCCCTTTGGACCACCTGCATCACTGCGTTGGCAGGCAATCCTGCATTTCCTCTCCCGATCCTCGTCGCCGATTTTCCCTTCTTGCGCAGCCTTCCTCTAGTCCCCGGCCGGCGAGTGACGCCAATCGACGCGAAGCCGAATTTCCCTGCTCAATTCCAACAATAATTTTTTTTTACCTTTACACCCACGCACACACATACACACCTTTTGGCGTCTGTAGAAGCTACGTTCGGAGGGGCTCTGCTGACAGCTAAGCACATGCGCGGCGCACACGGCTATTGACTTGCATTATTTCGCTCACCAATTTCTGTTCCCATTACCTTTCAATACTCGCCTTGGAGCGTCCCTCGGTCCTCCTGCCTTGCACCGGAAAAGAACCTCAACCGCCGGCACCAACCACGGCCAATTGGTTCGAGCTCCACACGTCCTCGCATATTTGCTGCAGAGGGACAGCTTTCCCCGCGTACTAGGAGATCCGCCAACTGAGGAGGGGTAGAATTAGGGCACCAAAATAGGATACAACGCGGGCAAATCAGATCATATCAGGAAAACCTGACGAAAATCAATTCCGGGAAAAAAATAATTGGAGACCAAGGCTGAGGGTGCCAAGTCATTCATCATTTTGGCTTTACTTGGGTTGACGACAAGACAAGCGATCAAAGAGCCTTCCCCCCCCCCCACCCGCGCCGTGCCATTGTTACACGAAGCCAGTGTCTGTCTCAATTGTTATCAGGAACCCGGATCCCGTACTCTCGCGAGCGCTCTCCGGCAGGGCTCTCCGCATTGCATCAGAGGCAGGCCAAGATGCAGATATCAAAGACAGAGCAATCCCGCTAAGCAAGTGGCTTTTGCATCGCTCAGCCAGACACGATCCCCTTTTTGGCTCGTATTGCATTCCTGCTATAGGCCACCATATCAGGGTCAACACAGCCGCCTAGTTACTGCACGTCGCTGTTCATTCGTCCCCTGAAGAGTCCAGGTGACTCCAGCTTTGGCACGGTTCACGACAGGTCTATAGTCTCACGTTTTGCAGCCGGGTGCTACGTCTGGCAGGTATCCGCAATGGCTTACGCCGCCGCTTCGTCGCCTTCAACCATAAATGGCGACACCCAAGCAAGTTTAAAAGTCACTGGCTCACTCCCGAAGCCTCCAAAACTACATAATGTCAACACATCTGTTCCCCCCGCCCCCAATCCCTCCTCCGCTCCGCCCTGTGCCTCCATATACTCATATACACCTAACTCATTACGTCCTTCGCATACCTTCTCAAATGCTTCGAGCCCTTCAGGCACCCCTCTGCAATCAGCTACTGACGCGCTCCGTGGTCGAATACCCTCATTCCCTCTGGTCCCCCCAGCCCATCTAGAGCTTGGAGATTCAATTATGGCTGTTCCTGGGAATGCTAGTGCTTCCGGCTCGGGAGATGCGGCAACCCAAACGACAAACAAAGGCCCAGGATTGATGCGCAGAATCTCTCGAGGGGCAGCCAACAAGCTCACTCGGAGGCGGCAATCCGCGACGCAGAATGATAAGCGGGACCGTAGCTCCGGTCCCGTTATCATGCGCAGACGGAGTGACAGCAAGACTGGACAAAATAGCTGGGAAAGTGCGCTTGAGTCCAGTAATGAAGAAGACAGCAACGATGCTCTGGACTCTCTTGGGGTCTGGTGTGGCTCCGAGGCTTCTAGCTTGCAGAATGAGAGTTTCATTCCTCCTACTCGCATCGTTAGTGCAGTTGCACCGAAGCTTGATGCGGTGATTCAGCGTGGCACAGTCCTCACGAAAGTCACCAAGAAACGACGGAAGCAAGTGCGCTTCTTCTTCGACATCGACGCTGGGAAAGTTTACTGGGATATTTCGAACCCGACGAAACGGTTTTATATAGATGACATCAAGGAGGTCCGAGTGGGTGCCGATGCTCGCAATTATCGTGAGGAACATCAGGTTTCACAGGATTTGGAAAGCAAATGGTTCACCATTGTCATCGCCGATGCAGAACGATTGAAGGGACGGGCTGTCAAGACTCTGCACCTGATTGCGCCTAGTGATTATACCTTTGAACTCTTTACGACAACCCTCGAACACATTTCACGCTATAGAATTGGTCTTATGGCTGGCCTAGCTGGTTCTGGCCAGAGCGAAGCGGTCTTGAAAGCCCATTGGCAGCGTGAGATGTCCAGACTATATCCAAAGGGTTTAAAGCCCGACGAACTCGAGAGCCTGGATTTTGAGGCGGTTGAGAGTGTATGCCGCAGCTTGCACATCAACTGCTCCAAAAATATGCTCCGTGCTCAATTCTCCAAGGCGGACAATAACAACAAGGGCAAGTTATTTTTTTCCGAGTTCAGTGACTTTGTTGCTCGTTTGAAGGAGCGGAAAGATGTCAAAGCTATCTTCAAAGAGCGCGCTGTCAGTTTTGAAGGCTTTACTTTGGAAGAATTCCTGGCATTTCTTCGTGATGTGCAGAATGAAGATGTCGAGTCTGACCGAAGCTACTGGGTGTCTATCTTTGATCGGCTTGTGCGCAAATCGAGACCCCGTGCACCCAGTCTTCCAGAGCACTCGGACGGAAGGCCTACTGTGGTTCCGCGTCTGGGCCTCGATGCCTTCACCTCGTTTCTATCTTCTTCCTGGAATGGGGTCTACGCCTCCCGCGCCCCCCAGTCCAGGTTTGATCGCCCATTAAACGAATACTTCATATCCAGCTCTCACAATACGTATCTCCTGGGTCGCCAGGTTGCTGGTGCATCCAGCACTGAGGCATACATCAGCGCTCTGTCCCAAGGGTGTCGTTGTGTGGAAATCGACTGCTGGGACGGAGCTGATGGCCGACCCATTGTCTCTCACGGAAGGACCATGACCACCAGCGTCCTGTTCGCCGATTGCATTACTGTCATCAACCGATACGCATTCATCAGCACAGACTTCCCCCTTATCCTCTCTCTCGAAGTTCACTGCAATCCCGAGCAACAACTAGCCATGGTGAAAATCATGAAGGAGACCTTTAAAGACCAACTAGTCTTGGAGCCACTTCTTACAAACACCTTCGTCCTTCCATCGCCCGAGGAATTGAAGCGTCGCATCCTTGTGAAAGTCAAAACTTGCGATGAAACAGAGGGTGGTATGCGACAAGAATCGTCGGGTTCATTGATTAGTGTCGGTCGAAAGCGCAGCTCAAGCTCCCCATTTATGCAACCGACGGTGCCCGAGTACCCTCCAATTGCCAACCTTGTTCCTCTTGCTGGGTCTTCCACGGCTGGCCAGGATAGTGTTGATACTTTCCTTTCCCAAGACAGACGATCATTCACGACCACCAGCTTAAGCAGTGCCACGGAAGACAGTGATGGCGCATTGACGTCCATGAAAAGGGAACGGAAACGACGCCAGAAGAGCAAGATCACCAAGCCATTATCGGACTTGGGAGTATATACTCGGGGCTACAAATGGCATAGCTTCACGTCCGCGGAAAGCCAGCGGTATAACCATGTGTATTCGTTCGCAGAGCGTTCCTTCGAGAGTATCTGCCGTGATTCAGATAGCAAAGCGGTCTTCGAGAAGCACAACCGAAAGTATCTGACAAGGGTCTATCCGTCTGGCTTCCGTCTGAGGTCCTCTAACTTTGATCCCCTCAAATTCTGGCGTCGCGGAGTGCAGATGGCCGCTTTGAACTGGCAAACCTACGATGTTGGAATGCAGTTGAACCAAGCCATGTTTGCCGCCGGAACTGATCGCACAGGCTACGTACTCAAGCCCGAATCTCTTCGCACAGTGACTCCTGGCGAAGATAAATGGAAGAGCACGGGGCGGAAACGCGTTAACTTTACTATCGAAGTCATCTCTGCCCAGCAACTACCGCGGCCTCGCAGCCTTGGACCGGACGATAATATCAACCCGTATGTAGAGGTTGAGATATTCAGTGCCGATGATCGAGGCCAGAGTTTTGTCATTGGGGAAGGTGGTCTAAACGCTTCGGCGCGGAGTGGCGTGTCAGGTATTGGCTATCCGCACCGTCGGCGCACAAAAATCGAGCAGAGCAATGGGTATAGCCCCATCTTCAATGATTGCTTCAAGTTTGCGCTGGAAACGAAGTATCCGGACCTCGTGTTTGTCCGCTGGACGGTCTGGAGCTCGCTGGATGGCCGCAGTGCAGGAAACAACAGCAGTCTTCAGTTGGCTACCTTTACTGCCAAACTCACCAGCCTTTCTCAAGGCTACCGCTATCTGCCTTTGTATGATGCAGGCGGCGACCAATATCTCTTCTCAACCCTGTTTTGCAAGATTACCAAGGATGGTATCACTCCCGCCTCCATTGAACGACCCGATACCGAGGAACTCCGTGCTGAGCGATTGGGTATTCTCCGTCAAATCGGTCAAACCGTGTTCAAGCGCTCGTCATCCACTGAACGGGAGAAGGAGGCTTTCTCCGACAAGGGTAGTGAGATCCCGATCAGCTCAGAGGACAACCATTCTCCTACATCCCCGACTTTGACGCCGACAGTGTCAGCGGCATCTACGTCTTCGCTGCCTCCTTAGCACCCATGCAAGGAGACTTAAGCATAGTGTGAAGTCATTTTCACTCCTTCTACACTTCCCTACACCCTTTGGGTTCATCTACATCTCCTTTCGCTATCACGCTGTGATATTTTGTTTCCATTCATGTGCAAGTATGGGATTGGCGTTCTGTCAGCTTTGGCTGCATCTTTTGCATTTTCATTTTTATCCTTTCCTGATGTCTTATGGGAGCCTGAGGCGCATCACGGTCGCAAAACGGAAGCCACAGGCGGGCTCACATGGAAAGCATGACCTCACATCTTCAAATTTTACCTTTTGTTATCTATCTGGGGCGACGCATGGACGATTCCGAAGTCCCGAGAAGGCGAGTTCATGGTGTTATTTACTAGTGTTCTAGCTCTTGTGTGTGTGCGTCTGTATGTCTGTGTTGGCACTGGAGTGCCTTGATTTATCCGCGATACCCTTTTAATTTGGACGTTTTTGTGTTGCTTTTATGCGTTGCATGGCTGTGTGATTATCATTGCAGACCCGTTTTCCATTCTCACTACTGTTTTGCTTGCATGTCCATTTTACTCAGCATCTGTCTCGGGGTTTTTCTTTGGATCCGATGTGTCATTTCAGATATCAATTGTCGTTGCATCGGGGTCGCATACTCAGGGAAGAGGGAGTCACCGAGGAAACGGTTGCATCATTCGGCATCACTGGCGGGGGATCAATGCATTATGAAGCGAGGTTTGAGGCCTCTTGAGGAAGCTGGTTATCATGGTTTGGTCCACTGTCGCTAGAGTATCCGGAAGAGATCCTAGCCCATGACAGGTCTGTTGTTTACATTTTGTACTTCTGTGTGTTAATATGAAATCGCGGCTGGGACGCTTTGCTTCGATTCCGGGCCTTTATACAAGCTTGGCTTATATCCTTTCCAACTATTCCTTCTCGTAGTTAGTATGCATGAGATTCAGTACCTTTAACAGTAGAGGCGTCATGGCTTCAGGTATAGGTCTCCCACATACTCGGCCAACCTGCCCCAATGTGGGCCACCCGCCTCCCACCGCCCGCGGTAAAGGCAACGTGACGACTTCCGCCTCCGCGGATGGCCATCCCAAGCCTAACTATACTCCCCCAAACCATTCATTACTCTTTAATTCAATCCTCCTCAATTTCTCCTTTTGACCGCCGCAATGGATCCTTTCTCTGCTGAGGGTGGTACGTTTTGTCCATTGAGCGATCACAAATACACAATCTCCCCCCATGACCTCAAGCACTAACTAACATGCCTCATATTCCCCCCATAACAGAGCTGATCAACATCCACAATGCCTTCCACCAAGGCCAATACCAAGCCGTAATCGAATTCGACACCTCCGCTCTATCCCCCGAGAACCAACTTCCCGCCCGTGTCCTCCAGCTTCGCGCCAAGATCGCCCTAGGCCAAACAGACGAAGTTCTCGCCGATGTCGAAGGCGAGGAAGAGACCCCCGATCTTGCGGCCGTGAAAGCGCTGGCCCAGCAGTCGACCGGAGATGCTGAATCGGCATTGAAGCTGGCTCAGGACCTCGCAGAGAATTACCCCGACAATGCTACTGTACAGGTTCTGTGCGGCACGTTGCTGCAGGCTCAGGGACAAAGTGAGGATGCGTTGGCTTTGTTGACCAAGCATCAGGGGAACCTCGAGGCGTGAGTTTCGGCCTTCAGCCCCGACATGTGCACTTGTCTGGATGATCATGGATGGAAGTCGGGAAAGCTAATGGACGATAATTTAGTGTGGCCTTGATCGTTCAGATTCATCTTCAACAGAACCGCTCTGATCTCGCCTTGAAGGAGGTTCAGGCTGCGAAGCGCTGGGCGCAGGATTCCCTTCTGGTCAACTTGGCTGAGTCGTGGGTTGGAATGAGAGTTGTATGTGGTTTACCCGGATGCGGTGCATGCTGCTATTTGCTCTAATCTTTGTTGTTTGAGGTTGAGCGATGAAAACTAATTTGCTTTGTGCTTCGGCTTTTAGGGCGGCGAGAAATACCAGGCTGCGTTCTACGTCTACGAGGAATTGGCTTCCGCTCCTAGCACCTCCGCGCCCCTTTCTATCGTCGGTCAAGCCGTGGCTGAACTCCATCTCGGTCGGTTGCCTGAGGCTGAGGCCGCCTTGACTGCGGCTCTGCAGCAGTATCCCGACGAGGCAGAATTGATCGCTAATTCTGTTGTGTTGAATGTCTTGGCTGGCAAGCCTTCGGAGGAGTTGGAGCAGTATGTTCATTCCCCATACCCCTAGTCATTGATCCTTGGACGAATGTGTCGCTAACGCATGCGTTGCACTTACTATAGGCGCCTCGAACAGATCAACCCCACGCATCCCTTGCTCTCCGATCTTCAAGCAAAGAGTGAATTGTTCGATACCGCGGCTGCGAAATATGCTCCCAGAGTGTCGGCTTGATCTAAGATATCCGTTGTTTACTTCTCTGCTACTTGCATTGCTTTTGTTTCTTGATCTCCATTTTGTACTCCCTCTTCTTGCTCCCTGGGCGTGATATTGTTTCCGATTATGAATTGATACGACGGCGTAGCTATGTGTAATCTAGTTATTGTCCAGCGAATGCTTCCTTCCTTATCCTATTTTACCTGTCTAGTCTGTACTTGCCCTATTCCCGTGTATTGTCATATAGGTGGGGAATTAGATTTACAGGCTGGTATAATTTAATTACGTGTATATCATGTGGTGCTATGTCGCCTATTCTAGCCAGTGATTACACACATGTTACCTGAAACACCACAGGGAAAGCGACCGAAAGCAAGACAAGGGGACTGGCCAGCAATGGGACACTTCAATCCCTATCGTACAAGTAATAGTGTATCACCTACCTACCAGACAACCGACACTACTAATCGATCTTACAGTCGAGCACCTAGCCAGTTAACGATCGCCTGAGTCTGCTGAGTATCATACCCAACTACATCGGCAGCATAGACAGCCGAGTCATGGGTTTCATCCTGTCCCACAACGTAAACAGTATTGGGTAGGACTTTCTGTTTATAGCGATAAAGTATCAGCTGTGCACTATAATTTGGAATAGGGAAGGAATTGAAGCAGGAACTGCGACAGGTGCAAACGGAACGTGAAAACAGCCAATAAGGGAACGAGAACTGATGAACGAACCTTGAACCTCTCCACAAACTCATCAATAGAAGAGAGCAGAATCTCATCTCTTCCAGCTGTGATCAAGACATCTTTTGCTTGTATTCCCTCCCACCAATCCATGGGGGCTCTAGCTGGTTCACTCCAGGGATCGCCCTCTTTACCCGAAAGGTACTGATCAGACCAACGGTCGAGGATCTCTTTAGAGAGAGCATCCTTGTATGCGTTTTCCTGGACACTAGGGCCGTCCAACTTATAACTAACCCACGGCGCGCAGCCAATTACACCAGCCAAGGGCTGGGAGATCATTAGAGGCTCGATCTCTGGGTGTGGATTGGTGAGGTGCAAGAGCACAGCGAAAGAGAGGTTCCCACCAGCGGAATCACCACCCAAGAAGATGTCAGCTGGGGAACGACCTGTCTCGGTGAGGATGTAACGGAGAGCCTCGACCGATTGACGGAGTTGTACCGGATAAACGGCGTGCGGCGTAGTAGTGTAGGTGAGGAAGAAGATAGCAAGGTTGTCATGGCCAGCTTCGTTCAGGCGGTCGAGCATATGTGCTAGTAGCTGGTAATGTTGTGGGCGACCAAAGAGAAAGAATCCGCCTCCTAGGTAGCTGGGTTAGTATGGGTACATTTGGAGAATAATTGTGGATTCAGGAGAGAAAACAGAAGACGCCAATCACTCACCGTGGTAATAGACGAGGACATTTTTGGCGTTTTTGTTGCCAATCCAGTGGCCTTTGGCGCCGTGATTAAGAGGCACAGTCTGCGGCTGGAGGCCTCGGCTGGCCATGAACTGTCTGTATGCTTCCTCGGTGGGAATATCCCGGAGCCTAAGATGACAGTTAGCAGGCAGTGCCCGGTCGTAGGGAGGACTAAAACGCACTGCAATTGTCTCGGGGTGAAGGTGACACAAAGTTTGCGCGTCACGGCATTGAGCACATGGACGTTGTACTGCTTGGCGCCATTCTTGCCTCGAAAAGCAGCTGTAACGGAGACAGAAAGGAAGGTCTTAATGACAATCAGACTGTTCCATGCCTCCTGCACCTTTTGCCAGATAGTCAGAGGTTGGTTCCAGGACGACATGGTGCGAGAAGGTGGTATGGGAGGGGAGAGGATGTGGAGAGGACTTGAAGGTTGAAGTATTGAGGGTCGATTCCCCCGCTTTCTAGGTTGTCCGGCTGAAAGTGGTAGACAAACCTAGCATATTCGGCAATTGATTGACTGTCCAGAGCAAGGGACAGGTGGAGTGCATATGCACTGATAGGCAGAATGGAACAGCTCTTCCACTGCTTCAGCCAGCCCCCCGCAGCTGAAGAGATGACCTCGGCTCGGAACTACTAATCCACAAGTTATGTTATATTTCCCCCATAATGCATTATGGCTTAGATATAGATACATTCTAGTTTCCGTTCACCATATCCTCCTTGCCCGTCAGATCACAGAATGCCTTGTATGTGGTGAACACATTCTCCTCTCCACTGCCCGTACTCTCGACGATACACTCGGCGTTGGCTCCCACAAAGAAGACATAGCCTTCCTTCACTTCCTCAGTCTTGTGGCCAACCGTAATCTTCCCAGTTCCACCTGTGCATATCAGGATGCTTGGGCCCACCAGTGCGTCGAAGGTTGCTTTGGCCCCAGTCCTCTTTAGATCCGTCTTGACAACACTAAATTCTTCAATCGGAGGGTCATAGAGAACAGACGATGAGCCACTAGAGTAGGCAGAGGCATTGAGAACGGCATATGGGTAATCGGTCGGCTCCAGCTTTTGCTCCTCAATTGGCGCATAGGAGTATGTCAGCATTTCGGTGAGTGTATCAACATCCTTGAACTTGGGAGTGAAGCCCGCCCGCACAACGTTGTCAGACGACGCCATGCATTCAATAATATCTCCAGAGATGTATGCATGGATGTCATCAGCCTTCAAGAACATGGCTTCGCCTGGTGCCAGCTTAACAAAATTCAGGAAGAAGAATACGAATAGCCCAATGTCGTTAGGGAATTGCCCGTTAAGCCGAGCGATGATGGCAGCCAATTCGGCAGGGTTGCTCGGATTCGTCTCTGGGGTGCTGGTAGAAGTAGCAAATGTATCAGGAGAATCCTGAGCCGCGGAGATCAGCTTTTGGGTGGCTGCCTCAATGCTTTCCGGTGATGAGTTCATTAGCGATGTGAATAAGGAACGTAGCGCGTCCTTGTTCTTCGCCATCTGGGCAAAATCTTGCGAGTCTTCGGAGCCCTTGACAACACTCTCGAATTGATTCGCTGCTTGCGTGCCGACAAGCTCGCGGAGAGGAGCGACTGCGTTAAGAAAGTGAACAATTTCGGCCAGTGGTCGGAAGCCGCACAGTCCTTCAAACGGGGTGATCGCAATCGTCATTTCGGGTTTGTGATTATCATCTATGTAATGGTGATTAGAGTTGCTTGCGATTGTCGTCAGAGATAATTATAGGGATTACCTGGATAGTTTCGGGCGTCCCGGGCATGAAGCTTTTCGGCCAGTTTCTTATTCGGATGGGCTTGGATACTGAGAGCCTTTTGAATAGAAAGGACCTTGAAAAGGAAAGGCAGTTTTCCTCCATATCGCTCGCTCACTTCCTGGGAGATCAATGCCTGGTTATCTTGGACCATATCGAGGAGTGTTCGCTGGGTTTCGACATCTTTGGAGGGAAGGGAAGGATGGGTGCCCATCCACAACTATACGTCACCGGGTCAGTTTACCGCCATGAGAACATGGAAAATTGGGGGTGCGGACCTCTGCGTAGGGCTTCTCTGCTTCTATGGAGAAATCGGAGCCTGCAGTGATGGCAGCATACTTTGCGGCAGCCGACTCATGGCCAATCTTGCCTAGACCAGCTTCAGCAAACGCAGCGGGCGGAACAATCCAGGATGCGGGGATGTCCTACCCCAGTCATAGCTGTTGACACCTGTGGATAAAGAAAATAGACTATCAGTGAGACTATTCTCTCTTCTCTCGGGTAGAAAGCTCGATAGGATGAATACTCACCACACTGAAGACGGAGCAATGGTACCTGCATCGTGCTGAGGGAACTAATACGATAAGTATTGTATTGGTGTGAAGGGGAAGGAGGAGGATAGACAGAAGAAGGAAAGAGCGAACGAACTAGTGAGTGAATGGCGGGGGGAAAGAGGAACAACGGCAGTTACCAATTGAAAACTACTATTCAGTAAATCCACTCGCTAACTTGAACTTTCTCTCTATCACAACAGAGCAGAAAAGAAAAGAAAGTCAAAATTCAGACACAACACTGGGGGTTTTGAATTCCTTATGAGCGACCGAAATAATTCTTGCTTCCGTTCCCCCAGAAGATGTCTTAGAGGGTGAGCCCCTCCATCCCGCCCAACTCGTTTATCGACCATTAAATTAATCTTCCGTTCAATATTACTACTCCATTCCCGATTGGGTGTTCCGCATCCGTTTACGTGAACCGGAATGGGATCTGCCAATCAAAGAGTCCCATGGGGCGCAAAGCGCTTACCGACTAGCCGCGAAGGGAAGCTCTCCGCCCAAGGAACAGCTTCGCAGTCGGATGCTCAGCATGACGGGGTCCCTGAAGCTCAGGTTCCCGTGTCTCCTCCGTCCCAATCAGTCGGGCCCAACAGGTTTTCCACCCCGGACAATCCGTTTTCTGCAAAGCCTCAGAGTGTCTCTCCTGTTCGTCCCCACAACCTCAGACAAGGTGCTGCCCGTGGTACTCGAAGCTCTGCCCGGCAGGATATCCTTTCTACCTTCGAATGGGAGGCTCTAGCTATCGAGAAATCGAGAGACTCCGCCCCCGTTGCAACCTCGGCTAAAACCAGGAATAGCCAACTAAGGGCTACTACGACTGCTGCTGCTACAGCTAGGGACCAGAGCTCACCTTCCAAGAAACCCAAGAAAATGTCCCGGAATCGGCCTAGAGGTCCTCCAGTCCCCAGGGACAACGGACTGGCGGCCAATGAAGAGACTGACATGTGGAACAAGATCCTCCAGGACCTTCGCAAAGCGAAGGAGAAGAATGACAAGCAGAAGACGCTGGCAGATCAGATCGCCGCCTTGAACGAGAAGATCGGTAAAGAGGGTGGAAGTAAGTCTTATATAAATCTTCCTTTCTAATCCGCCCTACCCACATACCGCATGCCCTGCAAAGAATGGATCATGCCCCGATTCGCTGAATGTGCTATGACACTGGGGCTTTTCTTGCTTAATTCCGTTCTACACTTTGCACGAGGCGTTCTAACTATCATGTCCTGACTGTCAGGCTAATATTCCTAGCGGTTGGCCTTATCTTGCTTTTTGCCATCATGTCCTCGTTTTGCCTTGTCTGTTTTATAGCTTTTACTTGCTGTGGAGATCATGAATGCTGACTGCCGAAACAGAACCTTCTCTCAGCGAGCACGATCAGCTCGATAGTCTCTATCGACAAATGTCAAAGCTGTGCGACGATGAGAGAGCCATTCTGCAGGATGAGCCTAGCGATGTTATCAAGAACTTGGGTCTCCTGACCGCACTTCGACAGGCCTCCGAAGCGGAGGCCCCTCAAAATCGCGCTGCTACGTTGTCCAAGTCGCGGAAGAAGCGCAATGAACTGGATGGGTCAGCAACTGACTCGCCTGGGCCCTCCACTACGGCCTTGCCAGATAAGGTCGGTCGCACGAAAGGCGGCGTTCAGCGTAGTACCAGTGTTTCCAGCACTCAGGTCCGTGACAGCCGCGACATTCGCGACAGCGGTGTGTATGTTAAAGTAGAAGAAGGCACCGAGGGTACCAAGGGTACCCTTGCAGAGCGCAACGGACACCTGGTGGTTGGGGCGGAGGTTGTCTTCAAACACAACAAGAACAAACAAGGGGTCGAAGGCGAGGGCATTCAGTGCATTATCAAGGGGATCTCTGGGGATGGAGTGAAAAAACGGTACGGCGTGACGCCCCAGTCCACTTCCACAGGATCATTGACCGATGTATCTTTCAAGGTATGACGTGCAGGACCCGGAGCCAAACGAGAACGGTGAACAGGGAGCTGTTTACAAAACCACTGCCGCATCTTTGATCCCCATTCCCCAGATGGGGTCAGCCTTGCCATCATTCCCAGTAGGGAAGCAAGTTTTGGCGAGATATCCAGACACGACCACGTTCTATCGTGCGGAAGTCATGGGTTCCAAGAAGGATGTCTACCGTCTCAAGTTTGAGGGCGAAGAAGATGATAAAGAGATGGAGGTAGATCGACGCTTTGTACTTGATATACCTGGGAAGTAGAACCAGTCTTGGGATGTCAATGTTACACTACGAGAGATCTACGGAGCGATGCCTTCCCCTCAAGTGACAGCGCCAGTAAGAGTATGAAACTGCCCCCAAGTGGGCAGGCGAACAAGACAGGAGCAAGGCACAAAAGACGGAGTGAAAAGAAAGGATTGACAGGGAAACAGGGGCAAAACGAAGAAGAGATTTGCACCATGGTCGGTTGCACTATATTTTGATACCCATTCATTGAGCTGGAATGTTTCAATTTGGCGGGTGAGGCGGGATTTACGGAGTTCGGTTTGCTTTGATGAGTGGGATGATCGCCACAAATTGGCTGGTTATGTTTGAGAGGTATAGTAATAGTTACCTAGTTATCGTGTGTCATTTACTTTAAATTCCTTGCATAGATGGGGGTTTCAACCTACTTGCTACTGTTATTGTTTGTCGTATTATTCCTATATTCACCTAGTAGTATCCATTAGGTACGTACTTAGTTCTGACAGAACTAACCAACTAGATAACCGGTCCAGAAGCTTCCTCTGCAGTAAGAATTACATAAGGCGTGTCAGGCCTGACAAATGGGTGGGTGAGTCAGCGAGTACCCCCACCGCCGAAGCCGCAGTTGATCCCGAGGGTCCGAAACCACATGCGGCGCCGAAACAGAGCAAGTGCGGGATAACTGGCCCATGGTCATCCCACGGCAATGGTGTACTTTACAACTACTTCCTATGATAATGTCCTCCTTTTTCGCCGTCTCACTGTTATAATTCCTTGTCCACAACCTATTGTCAGGGTCGTCCGCAACTTCTTCGCCATACAATCTTCTCCTTCTTTACCTATCCATCTATTTGCGCGTTGTTATCCGCGGCCATCATGTCGAACCTACCTTCCCACGCCTCCCCAACCTTTGTGGCGCAAGATGCGCCCTCCCACCCTGTGGAAGAACTGTCCATTAGCACAGATCAAACAGCAATTCTGCCCTCAGATAGCAGAGTAGACGAGCTTCGTGACAATGCTATCGCCCAGCTCGACAGCGCAGATAGCGATCGGGGTGATGTAACCCCCGCCGTGCCTGCCTCCCTCCTCTCCCCTTCCTTTACCCCTCCAGCTACCCCCGGTGGTACATTCAATCCAGCAAAACTGCTTCAACAGACTCAAAAGTTACCACACACTAAAGCTCCGAAACTTCTTCCTTGCCTTCCCGAAGTCGAATGCATCGTTCGCGCACGGATTCCCACCACCACCGGCGCGGAGATGTTTCTCCATCTCTACCACAACAACTTGGACAACAAAGAGCACTTGGCAATTGTTTTTGGAAACACTATTCGAAGTCGGAGCCTGGACAAGGTCCGGCCAGGGGAAACGGAAATGGATCGTATGATACGTGGAGCTTATGTGGGCACATTGCATCCCGGTCGGGTGAGCAGTTGGTATGATGATGGAAACGCTGAGGGTGCAGCTGGTGACGGTGGACCTGTATCATCAGAAAGGTCAACTGCGACAGAGAGTTCACCTAGTCAAGCGCCACTTGTGAGGATACACTCCGAATGCTATACCGGAGAGACCGCCTGGTCTGCGCGCTGCGATTGTGGTGAACAACTAGACGAAGCAGCCAGGTTGATGTCCTTCCCCATGGAGACTCTAAGTGAAATGGCTTCCCAGCAAGCTGTTCCGGTGCCTTCCAATGCCTCTGGCGGGGTGATTGTTTACCTGCGGCAAGAGGGTCGCGGTATAGGACTGGGGGAGAAGCTCAAGGCCTACAACTTGCAGGATCTTGGCTCCGACACTGTAGAGGCTAACCTTCTCTTGCGACACCCTGCTGACGCGAGAAGCTACGGTCTGGCTACGGCGATCCTAGTCGACCTTGGGTTGGGTGTGGATGCCAATCCTCACGGCATCCGACTTCTTACGAATAACCCGGACAAGGTTCGCGCCATTGAGGGTGCAAATCGTGAGGTGGCGGTTAAGGAGCGTGTGCCAATGATACCTTTGGCATGGAGGTCGGGGGGAAAGCAGGGCATCAAAAGTCTAGAAGTAGAGGGCTATCTCAGGACAAAGGTAAGTTTTGCTTGTTTCACCATGTCACTCTTCAACTGGTTTTTCCGAGACTGCTTGTTGCTTTTTTTTTTTTTTTTTCTTTCTCTGCCTCGGTTGTGGTACTTTTGTTATTTTGCTCCGGCCAGGGATGCTAACTTTCTTGGGTCCAATAGATCGCGAAAATGGGACACATGATTGAATAAACTCGCTAGAGTCATTTCACGTATTTTCTTTTTCTTTTCTTTTTTACTTTTCTTTTTGGTTGCATTCCCTCACTTGTCTGTTTCACCCACTATATAGCCGTTTGTCGAATGGGTGTACTATATGAGGCCTCGGGTTGGGTCTCGGTAATGCTGTACAGTTATGAACTGATTTTATGATCCAAGAGTTTATCATTGTCCCTCGGTACACCTGTACCTCTGTTATTTGTTGCCGAATTTCTATTTTGGACGGAGTGATATCTGTCTGCGTTCTTTTTTCACCAATCTGGTGCACTGGTCTGGTTACTGTGGTTAGGCATCACCAGGATTGTGGATACCGGGACAAGCTTTTGACTTTGATACCATCTGAATGACGCCAAAAGTGAAAGGATAAGCCAATTGAGAATGAGCTGTCATGAGATCGTGTGCCGACAACCCGAGACAATTGCTCCGTAGCTTTTGGATCCACCGATTCAGCGATTTATGGCGAAGGGAGTTAGTATCTAGTGCTATAGCTCTAGGATCCAGAACCCTTGGCGAGGGACTTTTTTTTGCTGTCTCTTTCGGGGTGCGCGGGACAGAAAGCGGAGCAACGCCACAACTATGGAAGTTTAGAGCGCCGCAAAAGACTAAGACGCTCCGGCTCGGCCGTGGCCTGGTATTTCTGCAAGAATCTTGTCTCTTGTCTGCTTGTGCCGTCAGGGTAGAAAAAAAGGCAAAACGTGGTGCCGATTATTGACTTTGGGGCAACTCCACCGCAGCCAACCAGACTGACTGTTCTCCCCCGACCAGAGAAAGTTGCTGAAGGCTGCCTTTCCCCAATGATCATTTCCCTATTTTTCTCCTCTTGCCCCCCCCTCAAATGACTCGCCGGTCCTGGTGCCAGTCCTGACTCGACCGGATCGGCTGCTCCTTTTATTTTTGTCTCTCCTGCCTTTCCTTCTCGATGCCACCCTGACCATCCTTCAGTGAACCCCAGATCCCCTGAATTGTGTCTGGGATCCTGATCCGCTTTGCTTGTGCTCGTTACCCGTCGTGTTGCATGGCCGCTGCGTTCCTGTAGTAGCCTGCGAGTGAGGCCATGGCCACCCGCCTTCCTCCTCTAACCGATGTCGCTGCTTCAGCGAATCCGGAATCCCCCTCAATTCCCTCCGCCTCTTTCTCCTCGTCTGCTGTGGCTGCTGCTGTTACACCCTCGACCGTTCAAGGCCCATCCACCGCCGCCCCGGTCGCCACTCCCGGGTCCGATGTGGTAAAACTGGAGGACTCCCCCACACCGTCCGCATTGACCTCCGCGGACGCAGAAACACCCGCACCGGATAACAATGGAACACCGGCAACAGGCGCAGGTCGCAAACGCAAGCTTAACTGTACCTCAGCGCGTGGTGTAGCGAATCTCACCCCTGAGCAGTTGGCGAAGAAGCGCGCGAACGACCGGCAGGCCCAGCGCGCCATTCGCGAAAGGACGAAAGCTCATATCGATTCTCTGGAACAACGAGTCCGAGATCTTTCGTCGCAGAAGCCCTTCTTGGATCTTCAGGCGGCTTTGAGGCAAAATGAAGTCATCCAAGCGGAGAATCGGGAGATCCGACATGGACTGAAAGCGATCATGGATATAATTCAGCCTTTGTTGGGGCAACAAGAGAAACCGAGTATGTTCCCATAACAACTACGTAGTCTGTCGGGGAAACAGTTGTATTAACAGTTTATTCTTCCAGATACTTTGACCGCGACGCCTTCGTCAACCAACAATCGAATCCCCCCAATAACATCGACGCCGCCGTTGTCCGATGCCTTCCGTTTCTCAGCCAATACCCAGAGGTCAGCCCCTGGCGAGCACCCGTTTGCAGAGTCCGCTACGAATCCCGAGGCATCTTCTTCCACCGCACATGCGGCCTTTGCGTCCGGTACGGGACGCCGTGAGATAACAGCGACAGGCCCAGCTTCTTTCCGCATTGCGTTCGACTACCAGCGACACAACCTGGCTCACGGTCTGGACTTTGGCGGGACTGATGAACGAATGGGCTTTAACTTCCTGCTTGACGCGTCGCAGCAGGTCCCCAAAGTGGAGGGCTTTCGACGCTCATCAGAGACACTGAGGCCATCGTCGAATCCATCGCCAACCAACCCATCCGGTGTTCATCCTTCTATGGCGGAACAGCCACTGCCTGCCTACCTGACCCCGATTCGAAACGTCGCTCCGACATGCACGCTGGACGCCATTCTGTTGGATTTTCTTCATAATCGACAGCACCAAGCAGCGAAGGGGGTTTCAAAGCAGAGCCTAGTCGGACCTTCTTACCCCAGCGTCTCCTCCCTCCTCAATCCAGAGAAAAGCGTTTACTCGCATCCCTTGTCGAAAGTGTTCACCGACATCTTGCGGACCTTCCCAGATATCTCAACCCTCCCAGAACAAGTGGCTGTGCTGTTTCTTATGTTCCTCCTCATGCGGTGGCAGATTTATCCGACCCCTGAAAATTATGACCGGTTGCCCGAGTGGCTCACTCCTCGCCCGTCGCAGCTTCTCACAGCCCATCCAGCTTGGATTGACTATCTGCCATGGCCGCGAATGCGAGATCGCCTGGTGATGTCGTACCAGGATTACCCCTTCGAGAATTGGTTCATTCCCTTCACACGTACACTATCTGTGAACTGGCCCTATGAAGCGACGGACTGCCTTTTGTCTTCCGGTGACGGTGACGAGCTTATGGTCAATCCCGTCTTTGAAAGACACTTCCGCAATCTCAGTAACTGGTCGCTGGGGCCCGCTTTTGCAGAAGCTTATCCTTCCTTGGTCGAAACCACAAGGATCAAAGCTTCACACTAATGCAGACGGATTGTCAGCCATCGCTTGCCATTGATCAAGAAAGATGGTGCATCTTCATGACTTAGACGTTGGGCATGACAAGCTGTTTTCGACTTTGGAGTTTATTTACTTCTCCTCTTCAGTCACCTCTCGCTTTACTTGGTCCCCCAGTGGTGCTGGCTAACGGTGGTCAATTCCGTTGGCCGAGACAGCATACAAAAGTTGAGTTGAATTTTAGGACGGCACACAGTGGTCTCCTCCCCCTGACACATCCGTCTCGTACGGTACCACCTAAATCGTGTCGCACATGACTTACGCTGGCCGAAATTTGACAACTGTCTCGAGTTCTGCTCAAGCTGTCAGGCTGTCAGGCAAAAGTCTATCAATCCTTTTCTACTGGCCTTGCATGCTTTTGAAAACAGAGTGGTTCTTCGTGAACATTTGCATCACGGGAACGATCCGAAAAAGGTCAAAATCCCGGACGGCCCTTAAGCTCCGAAACTGCCTTAATGGAGGGCTGTATGGAAGGGTTTCGAACTCCCCACCACGTAGTTGCATGTCACAGACTGCGGACGGGAGGACAGTCCGACAGTAGGTATCTGTCTGGAAGGGCTTTCATATCCCTGACCATTTGAATGCCTGATGAAGATCTTCGGTTATATCAATTATTATATAGGACAATGTAACTACTGGTTTCGCCAATCTAGAAAGAGATCAACATGAGTAGTCACATATATCTAGTCTAGTCTATTGAGAGTTTCCCTGACGACTCTTTTCGTTCCAAAACTCCAGGCCTGCCTTCTGCCGCAGATAGCCGTACATGGAGCTGCTGTCCAAGCATTCGCCCGCATACTCCCTGGCAGCCTCCATGTTATCAAGAGAAACCTGCAACCCCGGCAATTCCACGTTATGCTCCTTCGCCATGGAAAACGCGTGCCTTGCATCTTTAATGGCCAGAGACACCCCGAATCCGGGGCGAGAGTCCAAGGGCGGTGCATAGGCACCAGTCGTCAACCTACCAGTGTCAGCCATGATGTACCATAAAGACGGATAGTCAACATCCAACATAATTGGCACACTCACCGTTTGGAATACCCCCCAGCCACACCTCCAAATGCCTCTCCGATAAGATCCTCCATGGGCCCTGTACCTAAGCCCGTCTTCTCCGCAAAGACCTGCGCTTCACCAACCGCCTCCATCAAGTTCACTGTGACGATGTTTCTGACAACAAAAATACACCCGTTAGCAAGAATTCGCATCCCCTATATCCAGTACAAGTTGGAGGCGGTAGATTCAACATACCCGGCAATCTTCAAAAGAGAAGACTTCATAGCATCCTCTCCGCAATCAATCACCTTTCTCCCCATCACGTCCTGGATGAACGGCTTTACCACCTCTGCCGCCTGTTTGGGCCCTCCGATGGCGAAGACCAGCTTCCCATCCACAGCGATGGGGTTGCCCCCGAAAACAGGAGCAGATAGGAATTTGGCGTCCTTCTCCTTCAGCTTCGAGACTGCTGTGCCCACAGTCTCTGGGAGAACGGTTGAGCAGTCAACAAAGATCTTGTCTTTGAGGGGGTGGCCGGAGTTGATAGCTGTGGTGACCAATTCTTGCAGAACAGAGTCATTGGACACCTGTCTCTTGTTTAGTATTGATGTCCTTTTGGGCCCTGATGATGCTGTTGCGCACCTTCCAGAGGAGAGATCGCATACCATGGTGAAGATAATCCCACATTGCGAGACAAGCTTCGAGAAGTTGTCTGCGGGTGTACCGCCTAATTTCTTGAGGGGCTCACCTCGGGAGATGGTTCGGTTGGAGTATATGAGACCCGGGCCTGTCTTGCGGGCCAAATGCCTTTGGAGATTGCTGGCCATGGCGAGGCCCATGGAGCCGAGGCCAAACTGATTGGCATTGGGGTTAGTTCTTGAGCCAATAGACCCTCCCTCTTTCATTGATAATAACGTACCCAACCGATTTGTGTCATGATGTATGTTGAACTGGAGTAATCGAGTGTGTCTAAGATGCCAGACGGGATTGAGCGGGTGTTTTGGGGACTATATATACGTCGGTGGTTGTAAATAGACTTCGTTGATACTATCGGGCGGGCCCGATGCCGGGGAGCTTGCTACGGTCGTTAAGTACAGCACTAAGATCGACTACTGCTGTTTATGGAAATACTAGAGGGTTCCTTGATTGTTGTATATTTTGATGTCAGTGGTTACTTGGAGTGGCTAATAAGTGGGTAACAATCAATTGATCTGTTTAAAGCTTTTCTCGCGAGATCCATGTGTGTAGGTTTACTAGTTGGTTATGAGACAGACCTGTCTGTTGAAACGATACCAGTCTTAAGGCTACAAGGCCATCAGGCATAAAGGCATGCAGGCATCCAAAGAGAACAAACACACCGCCTCAGGCCGACCGCACGAGACGGTCACGGACCCACTCATAACCAAAGACAGGCCAGACTGACTACTACTACTACTTACTACTCCGTACTAACTAACTGACTGCTGCTTCCCAACCCCGTCCAGCCTACCGCTCTCTGGACGTCATCTCCCATGCTCCTTTTGTTTTTACCCCTCCGGAATTGATCAATCTTGCTACGTCTTAACAATCTACATCCTTCACCATGGCTGATATGCCCATTGGTATGTTTATGCGTCTTCCCCCTCCTCTTCCTGCCCTTCCCTTCCCTCTACCCCCCTCCCCCAAGTTCTCCTTGTCGGTGCCTGTCCCTCCCGTGCTTCCCAGCTAACCAACCACGCCCCCCCCAGTGCTCGACGGAGGAACTGGTTTCCTCAAGGTCGGATATGCTGCGCAGGTCTGTCGCTATCTCTATTCCATTGCCTACTCTTACTTACCTCTCCTTTTCCGCCCATGAACAGAACTTCCCCGAGCACCAGTTCCCCTCGATAGTGGGGCGGCCCATATTGCGAACGGAGGAGCAGGCCGGCGACATTGTCGTCAAGGATATCATGTGCGGAGATGAAGCTGCTGCTGCCAGATCTATGCTGCAAATCACCTACCCTGTACGTCATTTTATTCGCGTGCCTTCGTTCTACCCCCGATCGCTCCGTTGTCTCCCCGGAGGTGTGGCAGACGTGTTAACGTTGGGCCCGACTTGGTATACAGATGGAAAATGGTATCGTGAAGAGATGGGATGACATGCAACACCTATGGAACTACACCTTTTACGAGAAGATGAAGATCGATCCTACGGGCCGCAAGATCCTCTTGACCGAACCCCCCATGAATCCCCTGAAGAACCGGGAGCAAATGGCTGAGGTTATGCTGGAAGGCTACAACTTTGGAGGTGTATACGTTGCTATTCAAGCTGTGCTTGCACTATACGCTCAGGGTAAGTCTTGCACGCTCTATTTCCTGAGGCACTCTTAGACCACAGCTCTGATCGCCCGCTCTTTCGCATTCCGCAGGTCTCAGCAGTGGTGTGGTCGTTGACTCCGGTGACGGTGTCACCCACATTATCCCCGTCTACGAATCTACAGTCCTTAACCACCACATTCGCCGACTTGATGTCGCCGGTCGTGATGTCACCCGTAACCTCATCGCCCTCTTGCTCCGTCGCGGTTATGCTTTGAACCGTACCGCCGACTTCGAGACCGTGCGCCAGATCAAGGAGAAGCTCTGCTACGTGTCCTACGATCTCGAGTTGGACAAGAAGCTCTCCGAAGACACCACCGTTCTTGTCGAGTCCTACACCCTCCCCGATGGTCGCGTCATCCGCGTCGGCAGCGAGCGCTTTGAAGCCCCCGAATGTCTCTTCCAGCCGCACCTGGTGGATGTCGACCAACCCGGTATCGCCGAGTTGCTCTTCAACACCATCCAGGGCGCCGATGTCGACGTGCGCTCCAGTCTCTACAAGGCTATCGTGCTCAGTGGAGGAAGCAGCATGTACCCCGGTCTGCCTTCCCGGTTGGAGAAGGAGCTCAAGCAATTGTGGCTCACACGGGTCCTGCAAGGCAACCCGGAGAGGTTGAACGTACGTATTCTCACTCGCTGGTGGACAGCTCTCTACCAAAAGAATTCACAAGCTAATTTCATAATCTAGAAATTCAAGGTGCGCATCGAGGACCCGCCGCGACGAAGACACATGGTCTTCCTGGGAGGTGCCGTCCTCGCCAACCTGGTAAGCCTCCTTATTCTTCCTATCTCCCCCCTATATACCTATTCGTCTGTTCACGAGACACACCGTCGCTAACACAATCACCAGATCGCCGACAAGGAGGATATGTGGGTTACCAAGCAAGAGTGGCAGGAACAGGGTGCACGTGCCCTGGCCAAGCTCGGCCCTAGATAGTTGTCTCTTTCATTCAGTACATACGTTGTATATTTCATTTCAACCTTACCTACCGACTACCTATCATTACTTACCATCTATCGGGGATTCCATTTTCCCGCGCTGCGAACTGAACAAAATCGCCTCCATCTTACGCCTTCCCCGAGCAGCCTTTTTCCCCCACCCCTCCTTCCTCATGTTCTATTTTCATAGCTCCGTCATTTGTTCCATACTACGTACATACAATTACAGTTTTTCTGGCGTATCGGGGAGATTGAGTTAAGTAAGGTCCGGCTTGGTGTCATGTCATGTCATCTAGTATGTGAACGAATGACCGAATTCAGCTGGCTTGTATGTCTATCTTTTCCTCATTACGATCGGTCAATTCCTTCTTGGTAAATAATACATTATAGCTAACTTTAGCTCATTACTTCGACATACTAGCACGGATTGGGGACTTTTATGATTCAATAGTACAACTAAAGCTGAAACCGTTCCTCCCAAGTCTATATCTTTCTATATACTATAGAAACAAATTGTGAAAAGTACTCCTGATAAATGCATATACAAAGATGAAGGCAACCGATATGAGATGATAAAGCCATAGATCGATCCGCGCGACCAATGGAAAACAACACAGGACTCCACCAGCGGGTAGGAAGGGTATATAGATCCCGTCTAATAAAGCGATGTCTATTCATCGAGGTCGGACTCGGACTGGTCATTTGCCATGCTCTTCTTGCGCTCTTCGTTCATTTCTCGGTATGTGCTCCAACTTAGCAGGAAGAAGGCACCAATGATAAGGATACCGCCGATGATAGCCGCGGCGGAGGGTGGCTGGCCGGTTCGGAGCCAGTCGGCGATGGCGACGAGGAAGATGGTAAGCAGCGCTGCTACAGAAGAGAGGACGGGGGAAGTGAGCGAGATGAGAACCAGGAAGGAGCCGGAGAATGCTAATTTGAGGAACACTTTGTTAGCACGTACACTCGACGTCATAGGTCAGAAGAGATTAGGACAGTAAGACTTACTAGCATTAGCAAGGACAGAGATCATAAGCATCCATGCAGCTTCACCAGTAGGCCAGCGAAACGTTTCCAAGCCCAGGATATGGAGAATGGGCAGAGGAATCCAGAGAACAAGAAGGGTGAAACACCCAATGAGACTGCCAAAAGTGTTGGCAAAGATCATGCTCCGGCCGGGACTCGTGCCCTCTGGAGGGCAAGCATATCTCTTGTAGAGCACCTCGTACAACCCATAGAGCACACTGCCAACTCCGATAATGATGTTCCCGAAGAGTCTATTTTCTGCCTCGTCATGCGCTTTGCCGACCGTACCATCTGCAGTCTTCTTACTTTCGTCCCTATCTCCATACGCGACGACCAGAACGCCGACAATCGCTACCACGACGGCAAACACTTTGTCAAAGCGAAGCTTGTCGTTGAGTAGGGGTATGGAGAACGCATAGGCGAAGAAGGCGGAGCAGTTGTAGATCGCGGTCAAGTCACTGGCCGTTGTCATGTTGACCGCGACATACCAAGAGCCACCGGCTATGGTGAGGGCGGTGGTGACAAAGGCGGTCGTTTTGAGCATGTATCGAACCGGTGATCGTTGGGAGTCGCGAGAAGTGAGGTGTAGATATTGAGCTTCCACCATCTTGGCTGTCGTCCGAAGAAGATAGACATGGCGTCGCCAGAACGCTGTCCATGAGAGTTTACGCTGCTGCAATCGGAGGATGAGGAGTTGTGCCGGCCAAAGTAGGGACCAGGAACCGTGTGTAAGATAGCTATAGGTTAATATCAGGTCAAAAGTTAGCGTCCCCTTGCACTTAACGAATCCATGCGACTGGTGTACCACTTACAGCATACAGTATGGTTTATCCCAGTGCAACTCATGCTGAATATATACCGCGGTCTCCGTCTGCACCACGAAACTAGCCAGACTCAACAACAGGAATCCCGACGCGATCATGTACTTGCGCCGAGTCTCCTGCTCCGCGTTGCGCTCCGGGCTCACACCCCTAATTGTAGGCCGCCGCGAATGGTGTAGCATGGGCCTGCCCTCTGCCTCCCCATGGCCCAGGCTGGCGTTTGACAGTCGCCCTCTGTGGTCATCCTTGAGCAAAGGCTGGTTTGCTCGGGTGTCGGCTGGGCGATGCATAGATGGGCGATTCAAGGGCATTTCATCATCCGAATCGTGAGTGTCGAGAACCAGCTCGGGGTCCCTAACCTCCCTCGGACCCGAAGATTGCGCACTGTCTGAAGCCACCTTGTCTTAATCTTCCGTTCAAACCCTTCAAGCGGGAAACAATAGAGTAATGCAGAAATCAAAAAGAAAAGGAAAATATGTATGAACCTTTTTTCTTGGGGGCTGACACCCTACAGTTAATAAAGAATGGACTTCGCGCGTTGACAGAAGGACGATGCACGAGACCGCTGGTTTACCGCGGGTCGCAAGTTAATCAGACAGACAGGAAGGACAGTGAGAGTATTGCAGTATAGAAAAGACTGTTCATGTGGGTATTGCGCATAAAAAGCAGAAAGAATCCAGGTCAGTTGCCCCCGGGAAAAGACCGGCTGACGAGGGCATGCAACACGGTATATAATGGGCGGCTCCGGGGCGAAGCACCGCCGCTGCGGCCACGTTTGCCAAGTACGTCAGGATTAGGGGGTGTCAAGGAAACTGTAGCCAAGACTTGGCCGCAGTGAGGAGTAACAGAAAGAAAATGGTGAAAGGGGGGAAAAAGAGGAAGATCAAGAGTGTTACGAGATCGAAGCACAGCAGTGCAAAATTGAAATGAGAGGGAGAGGGAGAGGGAGGAGGAAGGAGATAGTATGGCTGATGCGGTTACATTGCAATTGCAAGCAGTTGGGAGGGACTCGCAGACAATTGATACGGCCCGGGGTTGGTTACTTTACTTACTCCGTATTAGATGCGACTCTCGCATCTGACTGGCCCACCGGGACCCCGTTCCATCCCACATCGGGAAAGCGCGTATTGCCTCACGTGACCCAGCGGGGGACCTCCATGGGTGCCTTCCGCATTGGGACATGCCGTGCCTTTTATTCAGAAATTCAACCTTAAAAGTGTCATCGTCTTCTTATTTATAGCAACATTGTTTCATACATGCATCAATCACTAGGCTATCATCAATTTAAGTCCTACTACATCTACAGCCTCACCTTCAAAACATAGCACCGTATCCCAGAAGGCGTCTTAACCCTCCCCTCCTAGTGTGCGAACCGGAAATCTAACCGCTGATTTCCCTCATCTCTTGTGTTTGCAACATAGTCGACTCGTTGATCCTTAGTCATCGCGTTCCACTTCCGGTCCCGTTGTCGGTTCCGTAGCATATAGTACGCTTTGGTCGCCAAGTAGATAGCCATGTTGACACACACAATAGACAAGAGTACTCGGTTTCCGACCACATAACGTGGTGCATCCCCTACAGGTCAAATTGCGAATTTATCCTTGATCAGCCTAGGGATACAGCAATGCAGGCTGATAGGTGGGAAAGACACTTACAATCCCGATATATGTTCGAAGCTATGATGGCAGATAGTTGTACAAACATGTTGTATATCGCAGCCGCAATAGCCCGAGTTCGCACGCTGTTCGAATTGCGGGATACCCATCCAGCTTGGAGAGCATGAGCTATTCGACTTCACATCAGTATTCTTCACCCATATAAACTGGGCTTCCTCAACTGCAATCTGCCTACCGTTAGGGAACCCGAGGAAGAGCGTAAGAACGCTCCATACGATCCACTTGTTGGCTTCGCTCAGGTTCACCACATTCATGTAAATGAGGAACGGCAAGCACCAAAGCTGCGCCACAACTCCCATCCAGGCAAGTGAACCGAATATCTCTCCTGCATAAGTGAGGAGAATTCTTGTTATGATTCCGATGACCTGGAAGTCAGTCAGAACTGTCATACCGTGGGCCATTCGTTGCCCTCGTTCTACTTACACTGCAAGGGAGGGATAGTAAGATGGTGTTGAAGGTGCTGAACCCATAATCCTTCAACTGCAATGTAAAATACTGCGAAACAGTAGCTACTCATGGGACTTAGTCAATGGCTCCCCTGGATTCATAAAACGGGGTGTACTGACTATAGGGTGCCGAAAACAGCATTCCGACAATGTATAACGGCCACATATCAAAGTCTTTGATACTCATCCATACAAGCTTGGCTGTTAGTGGTTGGCGATTATGCATTGAGCCCTTACTTGGGTCTTCTCGTAAGAGGCGATTGACCATGATGGTCTCCTCCCTGCTCATATTCTCATATCAGCATCCTGGTACTTCCCCGTTTGACATCTATCTTGGCTCACCTCGCTGTAAACCAGCCCTTCTTCCCACGGGCCCAGTGAGCTGTTTGTGTCGCTGAAGGTGGCAGTAGAACAATAGCAAGAAGGCCTAACGCCAGGGTGAGGAGGCCCTGTTCCGCTTGAGCTAAACGCAACATCAAAGGCAGAGATGTATACATACCTCAATCAAGAAGAGCCATCGCCAACCAGCTTGCCCACCATGACCGCCCAGGTGGAGGATCCCATACGCAAGAATTCCTGCCAGCATATCGGCCAAAGAGGATGCTGCATACCAGTATCCAAGACGTATCGATAGCTCATGGTGCTTGTAAAAGTACGAAAGATAAAGGATGACCTGCTCGAATTTAGAGGGACATAATGGGACAGAGAACAGTAAAGCCACTTACCGTGGGCGTGAAGCCTCCTGAAACCAATCCTATCAAAGCTCGGCAGACCAGGAAGGACTCTCTGTTGGATAGCCAGAATTGGCAGCTAGCAACAATCGACCACGCAATCATCTGTATAGGAATCCACCTGTCGCAGCCAATCCTCTTGCTGATGATCTGGGTGGGTATTTCACTGAACATGAAGCACAGTCTGTACAATGTGTTGCCCAAATTGTAATCTGTGTATTGTATAAGGTATGAACTATCATCCCGGCATTTCAAGCTCAATGGAAGTTACTGACCATCACGACTTAGGCGGATATCGGTCAGGAAATTATCGGCATTGGCTTGCTCTGATATTGTCAGTGCATCAGGTGGTATCTATATGTATAATCACCCACGAATATTAGACTTATCGAGCTCCAGGGCAGTTATCATAATGCAGGCCCATATAATGATACGGAGGTCCAGCTTTCTGACGATTTTCTAGATGTACCTAAGATTAGAACTTTCACCTCACAGTGAGACTCGCATACATACATTTTCTTCAGCCCAGGTCCATCTTGCTGCCGGATCGAAGCGATGAATGCCTTCCCAATCGGGACGTGGTTTGTATTCCTCAACAAGGTCAGGGTCATCATACACCGACGGTTGTGTCGCAATGGCATTAGGATCAGGGGTCTGAGATCGCCGGAACCAAATCCGTTTCTTCTTGTGGGAGCCACTGAGTACTTCATCTGTGGAAGCGGCGGTAGACTCCTGCGTCACACTTATCACTGTCTTCTTCTCGATGTCTGACGTTGGATAGCCACTTGCTTCCTCATCTGGGTGATTCTTGACCGTAAACGAGCGAGCAATGACAAGAGACATATTGTATCGCTAGAGCAAAATCGCCCACCTGATTCCTTTTGCGCCATTTTAATCGACGAAGCCGGTAAGCCCGTTTATATATTCTCGTCATTTCCTCTATATTTAGACCATCCTTGACTTGCGCAACACGCAAGGAGATAGCCAGAGCAACAACCACACCTCTATGCTCACATGGCCCGTACAATCGTTGCATCCTCAAGGTTGGGATCTAGATCACAGCATGAGCGCAACCTGCCAATTTACCAGGGTCTAGATGAACACAACCCGAGATCCAAGGACAATCAGGTCTGCAAACCCCTTGAAACAGCTCCTGGTATCTAGTCGATATCGCTGGTGCATGGACGCTATTGGTGCCAGGCGGCTATCTACCATAGATGCATGGCAGTAAGGTTTCATTGCAGTGTTCACTTAGTTCTGCACGATTCTGTCGGATCAAGCGTGGACTACAGAATCGTGAAATTCACCTTGTCTTCAAATAGCTCAAGGTCTGCCAAGACTGAGTCCGGTTCTCTATATCCTAAACGCTCCGATGTGTCACCAGCGGAGATGAGCTCTCAATTCGCTTCGAGCTATACTTTCCGTGGTAGCACAGTGAAGGGATATGTGCACTTGTAAGGAGGAGTCGGAGATAAGACTTTGAGTGAGGTTCTAGGCGCAATGGTAAAAGAATGTGGCACAATAGCTGTCAGGCGCCTACCCCAGATTAGCTTAGACGATGGCATAGGTGAAGTACCATGCAAGGGTACAGCACACATCCAATAGAGTCCATTCTTGACTGTGTATGATGCGAGGATCATCCCTGGGCAGCTGATAATTAGCGCCATCCAGGCTCCGCAATATGAGCCCGACAGACTGCAGACATCGGACAATACCTGGATGATTGCAGGCGAAAGGATCTGGTTCCAAGAGTAGGTAACAGGAGGAAGCGGGGAAAGAAGGGGAATGTTTGTGGGTGCTTACATGTGCGGCACGGTCACCTGCTTGGAGATATGCAGAACATGCAGGAGGATCTCGATCTAGACCCACCGATCTTCGAGTCCCTCCAACCTCTGCATTACTACATGGCCTGGACCGGTGAGCTTCTGCATACCCTATTCTACTTCTATCTTACAGGGGCTAGTTGCTGAAACACGTGCTAGGGATTTTCCATCGCGAAGCGAGTTGGAACTGCTGTCATGAATATTCATTCCTATTGTCGCATTCTCCCAGTTTAAATTCTTGCCAGATACCCTGGTATGCACTCAAGCCTTGGCACTAGGCTTGAACAATGCCTCTTTGGTATTGTATGTATATTTGAGCTGGAGGTGCCAATAGTCGGGAGCCGAAGCCTTTGCAACCAACCAGGCCTTGTCCAGAGCCTCAACCACTTCATCGGGTAGCGGGCCTTTCTGGATATCCTTGAGATTGCTTTCCAGTTGAGAAAGGCTACTCACTCCGACAAGAATTCCATCACGGCCATTATCGTTGATATTCAACGCAGAGTGATGACGGATCCACCGAAATGCAGTCTCGGGCAATGTCAATCCATGCTTTTCCACGACAGGCTCGATAATTCTTAGAGCGTCAAAGGTAGCATCCTTGAAATACCGACTGCGGTACAATGATCCACTATGGGCCTTGTCACTGTACCTACCTTCTTCTGGCACATCTTGGGTCTTATACTTGCCCGAGAGGAGTCCACCAGCAAGGGGGTTGTAAATTACAATGTCAATGCCGTAGCGCTTGCAAGCGTGGATTAGCTCGGTCTCTATGCTGCGTGCTATAGCGAAACGAATCAGAAACAATTTTCCGGGCCATACGAGAAGTTAGCGTGTACGCAAGGGAGACTCACTGATGGCATTGTACATGGCCTGGTAAATTGTTGGCCGGACCCAGCCTCGTTCGTTGCAGATGGTCACAATCTCCGCAACCTCGAAGGCAGTGTAGTTACTCAGACCGAGTTCTACGAATTTGCCTTCCTTGTGCAATTCATTGACAGCTTCCAAGGTTTCCGCGAAGGGAACCGACCTGTCGGGTGCATGCAGATAAAAGATGTCAACACTCTCTGTTCCCAGCTGCTTCAAAGATGTTTCGAGTGTTTCTCGCAAGACATTAGGCTTGTGAGTGCCCGGGACTTTCGGATACACCTTTGTTGCCAGAGTCAGACCACGTTCCTTCCATTTGGCTTCAGCAGTGAACGCTTCTTGTTCTCCTCCAACATAGATTCTGGCCGTGTCGACCTCATTGAAACCTTGCTGTTGAAAATAGTCCAGGCATTTGTTGAAATCCTCAAGGGAGGTAATCCGAGCACCCTCAGCTTCATTGGGGCCAAAGGTCATCAAGCCGAGGATAACCCGGGGAGTGGGGTTCTGTGCGAGGAGCGGCATAATGAAGTCGAAGAAGACGATGCTGGCAACAATTGAGCCGGGATGGCCAATTGATGTTAGGAAGGGTCAGGTGTAAGCGTACCTCGGTCAGAGGGATCCGGATCTTAGGTAGACTGTTCCAAGGGACAGCGGAGTTTGGATGGTGCCAGGAAGGTTCAGGCCTGAAGAAGAGGGGGGATAAAGACCTGGCCGGTGGAGGGGTTCAAATAGATAAGAATTCCGGCTCCCCACACTTCTGGTCGCACGCAACTCCGGCCGTCCCATGGCACCGAACCAATATCTATCTGCTGAGGCGTCGATGACGAGCTTGGATTAATATTACCCGGTTACACATGAGGTGGTTTCCCTCCACAGACCGAGTAAGCTGAGAGTTATATATCCCGGCCGTCAGCGTGGTGACATGCTGTGTGGTAAATGAGATGCCCAGACTCAGTAGTAGCTTCCCCGCAGGCCGGTGGCAGTAGCCCAACCAACGAACCCGTTATCGGCAGCTTCCTTGTCAACTCAACTCAACATTTTCTCTACTCCTGTCCAGCACACTTTATAACACTCTTTTGTTCATAAGTTTATACATCCATATCATTCACGATGACTGTGCCAACGAAAACTCAATATTCCATTCTTGTCATCAACCCCAACACTTCAACGCACATGACCAATGCTTTGATACCCATACTGGATAATCTGGGGCATGGAGGCATACAATTCGACTACTTCACAGCTCCAGCATCCGAATCAGTCACGCTCCCTGATGGAAGAGTGGTAGAAGGAGTGCCCAGTATTGACTCTGGTGAAGATTCTGTCAAGTCAGCCTTTTATTGCATGCCCTTCCTAGAGCAACTGGTGTCCGAGTATGATGGCTTCATTGTCGCCTGCTTCTCAGCTCATCCCCTCGTTGGTATGCTCAAAGAAAAAGTCAGATCGATCGAAGACGCAGAGTCATCGGGAGTTCCCTCGGAACTGAAGGTCAAGAAAAAGTACGTGACGGGTATCTTTGAAGCGGCAGTTCTTGCTGCTCTCGGCGTGATTAGTTCATTTCAAGCCACTCCGGGCCCAGATTTCGGCAAGGCCCAATCTCGAGATACGTTCGGCATAATTTCGACCGGTAAAGTCTGGGAGACTGAACTCAGCAAAGCGGTCGCTGACATGCTCGGCAACTCGGGAGATTCCACATCCACTGGTCGGTTTGCTGGGGTTGAAACAACTGGACTGACGGCCGTCGAACTACACACCACCCCTCCCCAAGAAGTGAGAAGGAGACTGGTCGAAGCGACAGAACGGCTTTTGAAGAAGGCAGCCCATCCTGTTGGTGCGATATGCATGGGCTGTGCCGGCATGGTGGGCATGGAAGACGCAATAAGAGAGGGATGTGTCAGAGCATACGGACGACAAAAAGGCAGTCAAGTCAGAATAGTCGACGGCGTTATTGCTGGAGCGGGGATGCTTGCAACGGCTTGCAAAGCCGGTTTCTAGGTGCTGTCTGCAGTCAGTACACCATCTCTCATGTTGGAGACGTTGTAAAACTGTGTGAGACTTATGTATTATGATGAGCTGCGGTCAATGCACCAACCACCAAGAACGAGCTGCAGCTGCCTGTATTATTATGAAGAGAGAGAGTCTATTATGTCACTTTAGCTAGTAGCCTTGATGCCAATAGTTTCCTTGAAACCCAGTGTTATGTGTCACTAAATCATCTATTCTCATCCCGTAGCCCAAGAAATACAATAAATCTGAATGGGACGTAAAAGTTCGCTATCTCAACTCGCAGCAAATCGGGTAGTCTCCACTGATGATTCCAATGGAAGTGAAGCCCAATCAAGAAGATCCGCTAGCCCATGTCTTCTTGTTTCTGGTTTACTTTTGGGGCGCGGAAGGTTTCAAGGCAATCGACAAGGGACTGTTTAGGCCTGAGGCCCCCACACACCTAATCGAGACTTGAACTTCCCCGCGGAACGCGCTACGCGTAGACTATAATCCACGATCACTTGCGGTGATCAAGGAACAAGATGCCCAGGTGGGTTCGACTCTCACAGCTTTCCTACAATATGTTTAGAAACATGTGATTGTATTAGCAGCATCTGATCTCCATATTTAGGGAAATCATAACGATCCAAGCCGGCCAGTGCGGTAACAATGGTATGGATCCCCACGAGAAGCAGCTTCCACTATAGCTTTCGACGAACATCGTCTGGCATATTCTGAGACATCGCTAACTTATATCTGCGTTAGTTGGTGCTCAATTCTGGCAGCAGCTCTGTCTTGAGCACGGCATAAGCCAGGATGGAAACCTGGAGGATTTCGCGACCGAGGGCGGCGATCGGAAAGACGTCTTCTTCTATCAGGTATACCTGCCACCCTCATTGTGCTTCGATTACCCAGAGAGCTAATCAAGCATGATAAATAGAGTGATGATACCCGCTATATTCCTCGAGCGATCCTGCTCGATTTAGAACCCAGGGTACGACCCCTTCCGCGAAAGACCATCTCGAAGAAACCAATGTGATCGCGCGAACGGTGAGCTGAGAATTTTCCGATTAGGTCCTCAATGCCATCCAGGCTGGTCCGTACCGAAACATCTACAATCCAGAGAACTTCTTCATCGGACAACAGGGTATTGGCGCAGGAAACAACTGGGGGGCGGGCTATTCCGCAGGCGAGGTCGTGCAAGAAGAGATCTTTGACATGATTGATCGTGAAGCGGATGGCAGTGACTCTTTGGAGGTATGATAACGGTCCTATCATGATACATATATGACGTGCAATCTTGGATTTGTGATTGACCTTGGTGCTAATGGTTACTTTGGCAGGGATTCATGTTCCTGCATTCAATTGCAGGCGGTACGGGTTCAGGGCTGGGCAGTTTCATACTGGAACGCATGAACGATCGGTTTCCCAAGAAGTTGATACAGACGTACTCTGTCTTTCCCGATACGCAGTCTGCGGACGTCGTGGTCAACCCATACAACAGTTTGCTTGCAATGAGGAGGTTGACGCAGAATGCGGACTCTGTGGTAAGGCACTTTTACTAATGAGTTAATGACGGACTTGACTAAGTCTGCATTTCAGGTGGTGTTGGATAACGGTGCTCTTTCAAGAATTGTGGCGGATAGGCTCCATGTACAAGAGCCTTCTTTCCAGCAAACGAACCAACTTGTAAGTAACCGCCCGCCTGCAAGACTACTGGCACTCATCACTCTTAGGTTTCTACCGTCATGTCTGCTTCTACGACGACCCTCCGATACCCCGGATATATGCACAATGACCTCGTGGGAATCATCGCTTCCCTCATCCCTACACCGCGCAGCCACTTCCTGATCACCTCATACACCCCATTCACCGGCGACAACATCGAGCAGGCCAAGACAGTGCGCAAGACCACTGTTTTGGATGTCATGCGTCGTCTGCTGCAGCCGAAGAACCGCATGGTCTCCATTAACCCCAGCAAGTCCAGCTGCTACATCAGTATCCTCAACATAATCCAGGGAGAAGCAGACCCGACGGATGTGCACAAATCACTCCTTCGTATTCGGGAGCGACGCCTGGCATCCTTCATCCCATGGGGACCAGCGAGCATCCAAGTCGCATTGACAAAGAAATCACCCTACATGCAGAACACCCACCGCGTTAGCGGTCTAATGCTGGCGAACCATACCTCGGTGGCGACACTGTTCAAACGAATCGTCCAACAATACGACCGTCTGCGGAAGCGAAATGCTTTCTTAGAGCAATACAAGAAGGAGAGCCCCTTCTCGGATGGCCTGGGCGAGTTCGACGAAGCCAGAGCAGTGGTCATGGATCTCGTCGGCGAGTACGAAGCCGCGGAGAAGGAAGATTACCTGGATCCAGATGCAGGAAAGGAGAAGGAGATGGGGGTGTGAGTGCGAGTGTGGTTGTGCTGGCCTAAACTAATGTCCCACTTGCGTTATTCCCCATACCTCCTCAGTTCTTTCATTCTCATTATGACTTACAAGGGTTGACCGGTGTCGAGTGGCAAGGGCGTTCTCTTCTTTTGTGTTGCAACAGAATACCTTCTTTTTGAGATTGCTATGACTTGGGTGCGTTATTAATGAACAAGAAAAAAGAAAAACAAAAATGCTGTATGGATTGCATCGCGTAAATGGACGTGCCCGTCTTCGGCCCATTGCACAATTGTGTAACAATCCCTATCGGCCAAACCGATGAAACACCCAGACAGCCAGAACAGAACAACGGTCAGATCACTGACCAACAGATCCATGGCCCATGTCCAAGGTAATCCATCCCACTTCGTACCTACCTACATTCGAAGGTGTAACCTCCGACGTAACCAAATACAATAATCCGAGGCATCCTATCCCATATACATATTAAATTACAATAATCCTAGAATAAACCGACTTCCCAGCCAGCCACTAGTATCTGATTCATTAATCGTTTACTATGTAAGTTTCTCAAACAGTTAGTTCAAATCAGTTCAAACAAAGTTTTTATGTCTCAGTCGGTGAAACCGAGGAACAAAGGAACTGAAGAGAGATAAAGAAAACAATGGCATTGGGAGACGCAGGATTTCTCAAAGAATGTGTACGCCACCATACCTGGTATCTAGTCTAGTCTAGTCCAGTCTATGCATGGCTTGATTTCGAATAATGCCTCTAACATTCTCAGCATGGTTTCACATAAAGTTGTGTCGGTGGGTGTATGTATGATTTGGCGATAGTGAGGCGGGGGAGGGGGGGAAGTCAGATCCGACTACTAAGAACAAGGCATGGCAGGTTTGTGCCCAAGGTGGAGGGTGTAAGTTAGTAGTACTTAGTAGGTATGTGTGCCTTATCGCCTCAGGTCCGAGCTGGAGACAGAGTCAGGCACCATTTGTACTTATGTTACTACTGGTTACGCGAGGAAAGGAAGTAAATAATTAGGGGTGTAGAGGGGATAGTAGTGGATAGTTTAATTAAGCAGTAAGTAATCTCCTACTCATTCTTACTCTTTTGGGGAGGGGCACCTTGTATGCAAACAAAAATCAGACAGATAATAGTACTTACAGAATAGAAATAGGACTGACCAGTAGGAGAAAATCAAATGCACAAGCGTTATTGTTTGGACGGTGATCCACTTGGGTACCTACTTACTTACTTTACCTGTGCTTAGGCAATCCTAGCTGAGTAAGTAACTAACCAGTAACTATGGGGACCGGGGTAGATAATAGTACTAGCTAGATTAGAAAACTAGTGGTAGCATGAAAATAGAATAACAGTAGTAGAGTAGTAGTACTTCTGTATGTATATGTAAGTACTACTACTAGTAGGTTGGCCCGTTCCCTTGATTCTCTCCCCGCCTATAGGACAATTGCGCTCGAGACATGGAGGAACCCATTAGGGTTCTTGGATGCGGTTGGTTGGTTGGTTCATTTTATCCCATCGGTCTGTGGTTTTGTGTCTGTCTCGACTGAGCATGCATATGGTGCTTACGTAGCTGCAGGCAGTTAAATTACTTAATAAATTGGTCGCAGAGAGAGAGAGAGAGAGAGAGAGAGAGAGAGAGAGAGAGAGAGAGAGGAGGAGGAGGGGTGTGTGAAAACTAGGCACTAACTATTATATCATTGTCATTTTGGGTTATTTTGTACTACTCACGTACGTCGACATACTGATACTGTGCTTTGCTATCTATAATGGATCTGTGCGGAGGCCACGGCTGTGCTTCCATCTGCACCATGTAGGATTTGGTAATTAGCTGCGTGAAACGAACAAAAAGGGCTTTGTTGGGAATAGTGATTATTTATGGACTCCATGGAATCTGCAAACCCAAGGGTAGGTGCATGATGATAATAACACCATCACTACGGGATACTTACTACTACCGGGGTTACTCCGTAGAATCGGTAAGGGTGCCGTTCTGGTTCCCGGGCTCTATATTCAGGACTAGATCGATAGATAAAGTATATTGACGATGGCTTGGAAAATAAAAGACTTCCGGAGGAATTCTACGATGAGATCATCAAAATGTACGAAAGGACCACTTGATTTGTGATGATGATCCAGAAATCCTGATTGTAAAAAGAGGGATCAATAAATAAAAGTCATCAGGATGGGTGCTGGCTGCAAGGTATGAGTCCTCACGTGATGAGTTGAGAGGAAAGTTTGGTGAGAAGAAAGAAGTAAGTAGGTTTTGGATGGGATTCATTTCCAGGTATGGGGAAACCGGGTTGGAACAAGATGGCATGGTTGGGAATCTTAATAATCTTAGAAAATAATCAGGAGGTGTGCACTATACTCCTGTAGTACGACCCTCGGGATGCAGCTTCACTAACGTGCACAGACATCCGTAAAGGGATTTTCTGTTTTCCCCCTCCCTCCTCCCTAGTGTCCTCTATCTCTTTCGTGGTGGTGCCTGGATGGAAGAGAGACACAGAAGGGAGGGAGGGAGGGCCCAGGCTTGCATGCATTGTTGGGCCGGATAGTTTTGGGAAAACCGGGGTGGGAAAGAAGGGGAAGGAAAGGGAAGGGTAAGGCAACGTTGAACGGGTCAGTAGACTAGTAAGCGTGGCCGTCCTTTTGGGGTTAGTTTAGTAGTAGGAGGGGGAAGAAGGGTGTTGAAAAGAGTGGAGGAGGGAACTTTTGGCGGCGATATATACGTTGGAACTTGAAAATGGCTCGTGAGGAGCAGAAGCAGCTGATGTGGACATGATTGTCCTCGCTTAGACAGGATTGATCGGCCTGATGATGATGATGATGATGATGACGAGAAGAAGAAAGGGGGTGTGGTGGTGGTGGTGGTGGTGAAGTAGTAGTGGTGCTGGTACTGGTGTTGGTTTTGTGAAATGAAAAGGGTAAAATGGCCAGTTGATGATGGATGATGCGTTGGTTTGAAGCATGGATGGACACGTAGGAAAACGGGTAAACTGGATCTGGATGTTAACTCCTCTTGTATGACCTTTGCTCTGATTTTCTCTATTATTGTTTTTTGGTTTTAATTTCTTCTTTTTTTCTCTTTGCCTTCTCCTATTTTTCTAAATCGTTAAATTAATTATTAAAGTATGGAGGCATTCATTTTTTCTTTTCTTTTCATATTCCTTTTTTTTTTTTCTTTTACCAAGTCCCCTGGTCCTGTGGAATGTTAAACTTTGCCAGTGACCAGCAAACTTGCCATCTGCTGCTATGTGACTTTAGTAACCAACTACCACTGCTACTACTGCTACTACGGACGACTAACTAATACTACCACTTACTAACTTCGGAGCCTGAATAAGAAGAAAAGAGAAGAAGAACTAACTTTTGCCGGGTACCGAACGGGAACCTCGTGCGCATCCGGCCAACGCAGCAAAACAGGACGAACCGAACTCGATAGCCGTCACCCGAAGGCGTAAATCTGAAAAAAAAAAAAATTAAAAATCAAAAATTAAAAAGGAAGGGAACCAGAAGCTGAAGAGTAAGGAAACCGAACAGACAGATGTATGGATGTATGGATGGATGGATGGATGGATGGATGGATGGCTGTGAAAGGAGAGGACAGTAAGTACAGTACTACTACTAATAGTTAGTGAGCAGCGAAACCCAAAGAATCCTGGAAAGTTCTGGGTCCACCAGGCCGATTTGCCTCCACCGGGCGTCGTCGTCGTCGTCGTTGCGCGTCGGAGGAATAGTCCCAAGCGTCCGCAGGGCCTTTTTTGGCTTGTCTTGTTCGCTGGGGCTAAGAATAAGCCCATCCGGCGCCTCTCTCTCTCTACCCTCTCTCGCCCTCTCGCTCTCTCTTCTGTAACGCGGTGCGGGTTGCTGCAATGCGCTGATCCAAGCATTGCAGCAGCGCCGTTCTTTGACTCAGCAAGTCATCCATGACTCCCTCCCCCCCCCAATTCCCTCTCCCCCCCCATCGGCCTCCATTCCGTATAAATTGACTTTGCGCTGCGCTTTTGCCGCTGCCACCTATTTATTCGTCTTTCTTCCGCCATTCTTTGTTCTCCTTCTCTCCTCCCTTTCTATCTTGTGCTTCATCCATCGAGCCTTGACTTCTTCTTTGCTCTGCTCTACTTTACTTTCAGTCGTCCTATCCCTATCCGCTATCCAACTCAAGCTAAGCTACCTTAACTCCGATCTTCCGTCTCCCCTTCCACTATACATAGACCGCCATCCTTATCTGCCTGCCTCCTTATCACGCCTCTCCTCACTCACCTCCTCTTTCTCCTCACCGGACTACTGCTCTCCACGTCACCCTCAACCTCCGACACTCTTCCTGTGCTCTTCATCAGTCCTCTCTTTCCGGACTGCATAACATTAAACTACTACTCTTGCCAGTTGAGCATCTTTCACTGTCATTACCAGTCCTTCTCTGGGAACAACAAGCACCTCATTTCCAGTCCTCCTATCGTCATTGCTGCCCCGGCGGCTACTACTAGCTACTCTTGACACCGCCTCCCTCAACTCGCTCTCTCGCCACCACTTTCATCATGGCGCCCCGCAAGCCTCGCTGCAACTTCAAGGAGTGCAAGGAAGCCGCTCAACGCATCGTCGGAGACTGCAGCTTCTGCAGTGGTCACTACTGCTCTAAGCATCGCATGCTGGAGGCTCACGCCTGCACTGGTCTCGAGGACTGCAAGAAGGAGTCCCACGCCCGCAATGCCGATAAGCTCAACAGTGAGCGGACTCACGTCATTAAGGGCGTATGAGATCCTTCTCTCCTTGGAGATCTCACAATAATTCTCCCTACTGTGATCTTCTTCTCCTTTCTCCTTTCCTCTTTTATCATTCCGCTGCGTCGCAAACTTCCTACATATTATTAGCGCGGTGTTCCTACTTCCACACTACACACTTATTACCGGCATTAGCAAGTACTGCATGGCCAGTAACGCTTTCCGCGACAGTTCGCCACCTGGGTTGGGGAGGGAGTTTTGATGTTGATACTGTTCTGTTTGGCGTTCACCACAGCTCTGGAGTTTCGACGGCTATATTCTTATATTTCTTTTGAGTATCTATTTGCTGCATATTTCCTTCATCACTTTTTTTTTTGCAGTGATCGTGTTCATCTTCCCATGGACTTCCCGCGGGCGGTTATTGGCAACGAACCGATACTAGACAATATCTCCATCTTCCAGTTTCGTGTTGGATAGAATTGATGGGCCTTTTTCACCGTTTGTGAATGGTTTTTGCTATTTCCATTGGCGTGTCACATAGCCAAGCGGTCATAGGTATATATGCATATTTGTCCACACCTTCCACCATCAATTGACCCCATAGATTCAATCACACCCACCTCCCGGAATAGCTTAGTACCATTCTTCCTCAGCGCGGTGGCCGGAGATTAGTCGTGTGCCAGCTACCCACGTAGCTGTAAGCTCAGGTAGCTAGCTATCCCGCTGTTCTGACCACTGAGCGTGCAGAACGTAGCAAGCGTCATATGATAGTAGCCCGAACAAACCTCTCCAACCAACTAGCCCCGAACTCCCATAGGTTGAAACCAACCTGACACCTAGAATCCCTGCAACAACTGAGAACAGAGAAAGACCTCGACCCCTCCCCACCCCACTCCCCCTAAAACCATAAAGCAAAAGCACCCACCCATTACTACGACTAGTACATAACGAGCCTGAAACAAAGTGATACGATAGCCATCGAGCCCGTACCACGGAGGAAAAGGGCACTTTTTCTTTTTAGCCCGGTCCAATTTTTGGCCTACCACGCACACAATTAGCCAAGAGAAATTATAACGTAACCACCTAGGAAAGGGGTCAAGTGGGAAAGGAATAGAAAAGGAAACATACATGTCGTGATGTTCACTTAGTCTGCTCAAATACTTGTTTAATTCTTCGACGCGCTCTTTGTGAGTTTTGACCCCTTCTCGTTTCAGGCGCTCTTGCAGCTGTATATGGTTGTTAGCTTATCTTGTCTGTTTGTGACATGGACATTTTCGAAGAAGCAGCATGTACATCAACCTCATACATAAGAAACATAATCAATCAAATCAAGGAAAATATAATCAAAACCAAAAGAGTAACAAAAAGAAATGTAATTAATACATACCCTCTTCCGCCTCATCTCCTCATACTTTCTCTCCGCTTCGGTCTTCCCAGCTCCCGCAGAGCCAGATGCTGATGAAGGTTCATGTTCATCAGGGCGAGGTTCCTCTTCAGCACCACTGGCAGTTGCTGATGTTGTTGTTGTAAGTTGCTGCTCCTGTTGATTCTTCTGCTGCTCACTCTCCTCTCCACTGCCTGGGACGGACGATTTCTTGCTGCTGCTGCTGCTGCTTTTCTTCTTTTTCTTCTCTATTCGACCGTTGCTGGTCTTGGAGCCTTTCAGTTTTAGTTTGCCACCTCCACCCGGGGTGGAGTATTCGCTTGGTGCCATCTCCCCCCTTCTTTCTTGGTAAAGTTTATTATTGTTATTATTGTTCTATGCTGGGGGATAGATGGTGGTGCATGGTTAGGTTGATGGGGAGGTAGTATGGATGATGATGGTGATGATGGGTGGATACTACTGGATGGCGATTTCGGTTGCTGCTTTAAGCGGGTCGGTCAGGTGACTTGTGTGGTTTGTACTATGGGGGTTGGGGTTATGGTGGTTGGGGTGGTGAGAACTACTAGCCTTGATGTATTGTCATATATAATACAGGAGAGAAGATTTTTAGAAAGGCGAAGAAGCTTTGAATTCGTTATGTTTGTTTATGGTTCAACGTGGGTGATGGCTGTTTCATGGCCATGCTGGTGGGCTCTACATATGCGATATTCTATGTCTGGCACCATGCTTGGAAAATTATTGGAAATTCTGTTAACACAGGGGGTGGTACCAGGATTTGGCATGTTCTGTTTGCTTCATTAATTTAAAGATCTGGTGTATTTCTTTAATGCCCTGCGATTCTCATGTCGAGTTCGGCATCAATAATCCATTTATCCCACACCGAAACTCCATCGTAATACATGCCCATTAATCGAATGGAATCGGGCGCAGCCCAGATCCGCCTCCTCGCTTTCGCATTTCAGCTCCTGCTGCAATTGTGCTAGGTACCTTGATTCCACAGCAATCCCCAAAGTAATCTGTGTGGTCGGCATGGTTGTGGTCGTGGCCATGCTCGTGGTCGTGCTCATCGTCTTCCATATCATCCGTTATCTCCCTCATCCCGGGAGCTGCCGGCAACAAGCTACCGAACAGAAAGTGCTGCATGATGGGAAGCTTGCCCAAAACCTCCTTGGCGAACATCTTCTTCATGCCACTCTCGATTTTGCTCCAATTCTTGGCTCCTGATATGTCATCCAACATTGGGCTGTGCCACCGTAATCCCTTTACAGTTTTCACGCTATCCACCCATCGGACCTGATCCAGATAGATGTACTTGCCACTTTCCTCCTCAAGAACTGCCATGTTGTGGATTGCCAATGGCGTGATGTAGGGATGTGCAACGAGCTGGGAGGCACCGAACAGGAACGGCAGGAAATGATAATCATCGAGACCCCACACTCCATGTGATCCAGCAGGTTCCAGGTAGTACGTGGTTTGTATGTCACGCATGAGGTTCATGTAGCTCACGTATACATGGAAGACGATCGCAGGGAAGTCCGTGGCGGAGAATAAGTGCACCTGACGTAGACACAGCAACCACATCATGAAGTTCAACTCGTGACCTGAACCGTAGTCTAGTCGGTCGCGCGACCCGAGCGAATTGATTAGATAGGTCGAAGCTTCTTCTATGAGAGCTTGATCTTGGAACCCGAGTATATCCTTGTGCCACGCCGCACTTTGTGCTGCGACATCGTCAAATAGATCGCGAAAAGCTGGGTTACCGAATCGCGAGCCGCCTTGGTCGAGTGACGGGTGTGTCTCGAGAAGGGATCGGATTTGAAATACTATAGACTGAATTTTGGTGATGATGGGGGAAGGGCTGCCGATCTCCGTGGTTGCCCGCCCCCGCACTGAATCGGAGAGACCGAAGATGAAGGCGAGGATCAAGGTATGGGTTGAGGAGGAGAGAAATAGGTCATGGTCTTGCTTCGATAATATCCGACGCACTGGGCGCGCATACTGATGGGAGGAGAGATCCGGAGGACTGGGCAGAGGCGGGGTGACTGGAGCAGGTTCGCGGGAGGAGGGCGTCTGAGACTTGGCTTTACTCGCACGAAGTTCCGAAAGTTTCTTGGAAAGGTCAATCTTCGGTTTCGGTGCCGGACTAGACACGGAAACTTGTGAGGCCATTTTGAGCGATATAATAAGGAGGTCGATGCGATCCAGTCTTCCTAGTGACCTTGCCGCACGACAACTGGCAGAAGATTGTTGCTATCGTTGGACGATAATGTGATAAGCAGCTGCGGTCATCTGACACCGCCCACGATGACATAAGATGGATTTGGGCTGTTTGGCAGAAACTGACCGCCTACCAATAGAGCAGCCATTGCCCCTTTCCCGAGAAGGTATAGCTAGATTGCCACAATATTGAGGCATACACAAGTGTATTCTGGGTCCTACTATTGTCATGAGGTGGCGACAAAACCTAATGGGGTGAACAATGGCGCTGGAAAGGCTATCCGAGTTCAGAACTGAGTTGAGCCACATCGGATTCATCGGATTCGATCCGGCCTTTGCCGTCATCCGAATCCGTCCGCCGAGCAGCCCACCAAATCTCATCGAGGAGCCTCGGACGGAGGCTTACTCCGCGCCGTGGATCATGATGGCATATGCGGTGCAACGCCCCCGAACTAACTGACATCACATTTGAACACAAATTTTTCGACTCCACGAACGAGGAAGCAAAGTGGACCGATCGATTTTCAATGTGGCTAAGTCCAGGGCTTCGGTTCGGATTTTCTGGAACATGAGAGCGATATCCGCTGTGAACCATGGATCGGCGCGGCTGAGTTGAGGCACTATTGACTTGAAGGCAAGTACGAGCAAAGCGTTCAGCCTGGGGAAGGTTTCCGGAAGACAGATCTGATCGGGTGGAGGGCTGAAAGAGGGACAGTCTCGGAGGGTAAACTGAAAACCATAAGTAGGTAGGCATTGACCCTTGCATTGGATATGACTAGTATTGGGGAAAGGGTCTCTATCCCTTATTATTGTATCGTAAGCCAGAAGAAGGACACAGCGGTAAGATAGGTTACAGTAAGCAGAATACTGCTTCGAATGTTTGTTGTTTCACTTGGGATTCAGTCGGTCGCTGCCTTAATACCAACCTGACCCAAGATCGGCCTATTCGTTCCAGAATCATTGCTTCTCAGAGGGATTTAGGACATGTTATGGAAGCCAGAGCGATAAGGGACCAGGAATGCATCTCGACTTACAGTTAGTAGTACTTAGCACTCCGTACTCCGTCGTCGCCTGCGCAGATAAGCCCAAAACATGGGACACGGTTGGTTAGACGCACAACATTTCACACCATGATTAGACTCGACTAGCCCAAGGTGCCTGGTCCCTGTTCGGTGACGGTCTATCGGGTCTGAAGGGAAACTCTGTGCCAGTCAGACAGCCATGCTTGGTTTCCGGCTAGGCCGCATGTACGTCGACGATTCGGGCATATCAATCTTTGCCCTTCAGCCAATAGATAAATGTCTCTGGCTGCACAACATTGATGAGAGATAGTAGATACAAGGTACTAAGTAACCTTGGGCAACGCCACAGACAGCTTGCATGATGTCTTGATGAAAGAACTTCTTGTCCATCGTACCGATGAGTCTCGATTGATGAGAAAGTAAGTATAAGCCTCCCATGACTCAGTTGTCGTCAGATCCTCATTCTATTGGTTCTCCGACCAGTTCAGGATCACCGGTCTCTTCCCAGGAGAAGGAATAAATCAGACTGCTGGGAAGGCTACTAGCTATCGAATTATCTAGACCGCGACATGGCGAAGCTGAAACATCCATATCATCGTAGTCGGCGCGGGAAGATGATGGGAGCTGAATTGCGTCTAGGGTATAAGCAATTGGACGGGTCACTCGGCGCTTCTACAATACCTCTTCCGTGGTGACTTTATCCGGGATACTCAGCGGCGTATCCCGTAGTATGCAATGGGCCGTTCCTGAAATAGAAGGCCACAACCAAGATCGGCCGACGTGGCTGAACTGCATTGAAACTAGAACTGGAACACATGGGCGATACTATTTAGTCCTCACTAACAGTTTCTTGGCAGCCAATGATAGGCGTGACATGTGCCGCCAGACTCAGGTGGCTAGTAGAGATCCTGACAAAAGTATTGGTCTATCACTTATCAGGGGAGGGGAGAGAGGGGAGTACTAAGAGGGGAGGAAAGTGATGTGCCTCACTCTGAGAGGGAAGAATTGGCGCCCGTCTTCCATCTAGTAGTTACGAACTTACGTAGGTGCTCCATGCCTCGTATCGTATCCAAAACCATTTACAGTAAGCCACCATCATCCCTTATTCTGTCAGTGTATTAAGTGTGTGGATGATGTTGGTCAGGATACTTAACAGGTTCGCAACAACCGAGGATGATGATGCGATCATGGGATGAAGTCGCAGATGATGGAGAGTGATCACCAGGGGGACGGGAGCACCAACAACACCAAGTTTGGGGGAAAGGAGATCTATTCTTGGTTGTCTCTGATTTCCATGCGGGATGTTTCAACTTGCATGGCTTTCCCCCTCCTGGATGTCGAGACGTGTCAACCATTGCAGGGATCGCTGGCTGGCTGGCGAAGTTGATTACTTTAGTAAGTAGTTTGTTTGGTATCGATGTACTGTAAGAGAAGGTTGCGAGCGAGTGGGTAGTAGTAAGGAAGTCAGTACTAAGAGTAAGAGTAGTAAGAGTACGAGGTGAAAGTAACTAAGCCTGTAACGGGTTTAGTACTAGGTACGGCTAGTAGACACAAACTCCGTATTTAGTCTTGCTTTTTCGGCGCGACGGGGCAAGGAGTCAACTGGCGCTAATTAAACTAGCTTGAATGCAGTTAGCCCAAAGCGTCTAGTGGGTGGCGGTCGGTCTTTCCCCACCGAGACAAGCGAGATTTCGATGCCCCTGTTCGTGTTGCGGATTGGCCGCCCGTTCAGGTACCGCCAATTTAGTCTACTGGTGCCTGGGGGGTTTTCTCCGGAACTTGACCCAATAATGTTGGTCCCCCATCACATATTGGAGTCATGCTGGTGACAAGTTAATATAGCCCAGAGACACTACCAAGCCATTCACGGGCCATCAATTCAGCATGGAGATGGATCGCTAATATCAGCTTGATTATTATGCTCCATAATGGCCAAATTGCCGCCATGCAAGAACCCTGATTGCAACGGACGGCATGAACAGGTGGCAGTGGGAAAGTGGAGACCTCTGGCTCTCTGGCACTGGCTCTCGCTCTTATTTCTCCTCCTCCATGTCTGGCTTATGTCTCAAGCTCAACCAGGGATGCGCACCGTATTCGCACTTGGTAGCAATCAGACACTATGACGTCTTCTATATGAAGAACTGCAAGACGAACATTTGGGTTGTAGATGGAAAAGTGAGAGAACTACTTACTGCATTAGATCTACCATCCGCATTGTTCTCCTAGAGTAAAGCCTATCGGTTTTTGCTAGACTGTCCGGATTCTGTACCGTGCCGAGAAACAAAAAAAAAAAAAAGATATTAAAAATAAAAAAAATAAGGAAGCCTGCAGATTCGGAGTATTGCGACTTCATCGACAGGGTACTACGTACGTAGGCGCAGTAGTAGCAAGTTAGTAGGCACGCATTCATCCGAGAACTCCGCAGGCCTGACTAACTGAAAGTATGCAATTTCCCCATGAAGACGCTGGCCAGACTAGTCTAGTCTAGTATTGATGGATTTTAATGCTACGATGGAGCCCTTCACTATCACCTTTAATTAGTAGTGTGGCCTCGAAAGCAGGCTAGTGCGAGACAAGTGAGAAAGCGAAAGAGGGAGAGAGAGGGCGAGCGAGTGAGAGGTCTGCCTAGTAATTACTGACTGACTGGCCTTTCTCCGTACTTTACCGGTGCGCATCGTTCGGTGGTCACGCCTCCGCATGCTGACTGGAGCGCTGGGCGATCGGATGGCCCTGGTAATACGCGGTACGGATCATTTGGTACTAAACCAGGTTGAACGGTACGGGCGCGGCCCCTCCGGCCACCCAGCCAATCATCCCCTGCCGCCCTCCATACGTCGCCGTCTCCTCTCCTCCTCCTCCACCACCAAGCCTTTTGCTGCACCTCAGCCTTTCCTCTCCTTCCTTCAACTTCATTTTCCTTTTTCCAGGTTGATCCTCTCTCTCTCTCTTTCCTCTCCCTCCCCTCCTCCATCTCTCCTCCCTCTTCCTCCTTCTCCTCTTCTTCTTTCCTCCCCCTCTCTCTTCACTATACCTTCTTATTCACATTAACCTTTCACTCTCTAAACTTCACTTCGCCCTCCTCTCCCGACTCTTCCGCCCATCCTCTCCTCCTTGGCCCGTTCCCGTGGCCGTCCGCTCCTTACAACACCAGTCTCCTTCGTCAACAACAAGTACGACACACCTTCAACTCCCTCGATTTCGATACATTCATTCGATTCGCCGTGTTTCTAAAGCGTTGCTCGACCACTGAATCAGTTACAAAAGCGATTGTGGAGGCTTGTTGTGTCTTTAGGTTTCAAACCGTTTTTGCGACCTTACGCTCCGACTTGTATTCTTTCGGCTCGTATTCATCGGATCCTAGGGTCTCGTCTCTTCCTTGGTGCGACACTTGAGAGTTTGGATTCAAGGGTTCAATGGTACCATTGCAGAATTGAAGGCCTCCAGACAGCACCGGGCTTTCCAATCATTGTAGGGAAGTCACCAAGGTCTGGAGGTCCCCGTGCGTCGTCAAGGTCACATCAACTGTGTCCATTACTTGCCACGGCGTGATTCAAGTCATCTTATTGTATCAAGGTTTAATCGGTATTATCCAGACCTCTTGATCAACCCGGCGTATCGTTATGGCTTCGATATCCCTACCTCCACAGCCTCAAGCTAGTCCGGCATTCTCTCCATATATTCCCCCGGCTGATCTGTCTCCTGAGGGTCACAGCCGCCGCAACCTGAGAATGTCTGCTCCGCTCCCAAATCCCCACTTTGTCTTTCCAGCCCGGGATCCTAGCGATGAGACACCCCAGTCTTCGGAGACCGGTGCGAGGGCTGCTCTGCCGCTCCCAGCGTTTTCGTTCAACCCGGGCGCTCAACATTCATCACAACCATCGATGCCCTCTCTCTCCCCAAATAGACCAGGTGGACACCGCAGACGCTGCAGTGAGTTCGTTGGTGGTGAACATCCGATCATTCCGCCTGCGTCCGTCGAGGCCACTCAAAGCAAGGATGACAATTTAGCGCCAGCACCCGCCAAACTTCCCGCTCCAGGGCCCGGCTTTGGTGCGGGTAGTCAAGGGAAACGCCGTCATGCCCACCGCCGCTCGGCTGCTATATCCAGTGTGGATCTCACGGCTATCTCGAATGCGCTAGACTTGAAACCATCCATTGGAAGTGCTCCATGCTTTCCGGCAGATACAACGCGCGAAGGCCATGCTTCCAATGACCCTCCCAGACCAGTCTCTCAGTCCGCAGCTATTCTGACCCGGCGATCTCCGCCAGTATCGCCTACCATCGTGATTGAGGAAGACCACTCAGAGGTTGTTGAACCTGGTACTCCTAGCTATGTGCCCTCGCCCGGACGTCACTCGGCTGAGATTCTGTCGAAAGAAATTGGGCCGGCGGCAACATCAGGAATTGGCGCCTCCGCTAGAAATAGCGGCTATACTTGCTTTTCTCCTGCAGTCGACAACATACAACCCAAGGCTGAAAAGTCAAGGCCAAGACCTCGAACTGCGGATGCATCCTTCATGCTAGATCCGAGCAAGACCGCCAAAGCGGACGATGCATCGCCCATGAAACGGTCATTGTCTGCGGCAGGCCACTCCCGTAACCGCAAGAGCTTGTCTTCAGGAATCCTCGAGCACCTTGCAGGCTCATCGCGACGTTCCTCTTCCTCTTCCAGTGGCTCAGAAAACAGCTCGAATACCTCGGTTAGCGAGACAAATGACTCTTCGGGATCTCCTTCAGGCAAAAAGAAATCGAAGTCCAAGAAGAGGCAGAAAAAAGTGCGGTCTTGGGCGGGCGCTCTTTTAACAAGGGGTAAGAATAAGCGCCATAC